GCGTGAAGCGCATACACCGTACACCGACAGCCGATTGCAGATAATGATGATGGTATCCGTTGCTATTTTTCCCGCTTCAATAGCTGTAATTTCCTTTTTAACGTGTTACCGAGAACTCCATTATCGCTTTCCTTAATTAGTAGATCACTTCTTTTGTAATCGGTATTATACAGGAAGATTGTCCGGTGACCTTGATGACAGGAACGTTGCGTAAAGGTCAAACCGTCTTTTTCATTTAGCGCTAATGCATTTTTGTTAAAACCTGTTCGTCGATTAAGCGCATTGTAAAGTGCGAAATTAACGGTTTATCGTCTTTCTAAAAAAAGCGTTTAGTAAAGAATAAACCGTCTTTTTCGTTTGCCTTTATTCAAATTTGTTAAAACCGGCTCGTTGATTAAGAGTAACTTATAGTACGGAATTAACGGTTTATCGTCTTTGCAAAAAAGTGTTTAGTGGAGCAAAAACCGTCTTTTTCAGTTGCCGCTAATGCATTTTTGTTAAAACCGGTTTGCTAATTAGGCGAGAATAAAGTACGGTTTACCGTGCTTTTTTGGCGGAGAAAAAGCGTTTCTCGCAGATCAAAGCGTCGTTTTCATTTGTCGCTAAGCATTTTCGAAAACTTCGGTTTGCTAATTACACGCACAGCAAAGTGCTTTTTTTGTGGCACAAAAACCTTTTTTTAAAGGTCGACAAGGAAAAACGATTACCGGATACTAATCTTTACGTAAACCAAAATGCTAATGCAAACACAACCAGCGATTTGCTGTTGTCCAGGCGGAATCGGATCCGAAACACCCGCCCGCCGCCGACGACATCGATATTGACCTGAATGATCCGGATGTGGAGAAGGCCGCCCTGAAGATCCAGGGCGCCTTTAAAGGCATCAAGTCCAAACGGACGGGAAAGACGCCACCCACGGAGACGGCGCCATCTGGACCGTAGAAAATGTCGAATATTTCCCGGCACACTTGTTTAATATATGTATATTTATCCTCTTGACAAACATTGACACACACACACGGCTATGTACGCTTCGGCTTTATAATCCCTTTGCTCACCATTGCCATCCAGAGAGACACTTTACCGAGGCTGGATAAAACAGGAAGCCGGGAAACAGGCAATAAAATACACGGAGTGTGTACACAACGCGCGCTGTTTGTGTATTGTGTGTGCGAGGAAATGTTGGTGTTTTATTGATATACATGCCATGCAAATACTGTGAAACGGTTCTCACGGCTTTGCTACGTCGAACTGTGTATATTTAGCATCTTGTCAACGCTTGTATCTCGTACTACATAAAACTGATATACGTCATTGCGTGTTGTCGTATTTTTCGCTAAAAGTAAAAGAATTTTTAAACTTGGCTCTGTAGAAAAATCATTTTATTGGAGCCTTCAATCAATCGTCGATGAATAACAGCCGCGGGCGTTAACTTGTGACACGATGTTCCTTGTAAAGCACGGCAGCCAGAAATAAGTCAGGACTGCGCCGGCTGAGGGATTTGAGATTAATCGGTTGGAAAAATATAATTGGATCGGCGCCGGTTCTGTGCATACTCAGTTGACACGGCGCTCTATAGCCGCTAAAGCCGTAAATCATAAGCCATACGATGTTCACAGTCACGGATACCAGCATATGCGTGCAGACCGCAGACCGTTCCTACGGCCATAAATCATTGAGAATTTTTTGCAAAATAAAAGCTTGAAATTTGTTTTTCACAAAGGCGTGAATATACTGGATTTTTAACTTTGTACTAATGTAAACCATGTGCATTTATAATAACACACAAAACCATCAAATCCAATGCTTTAGAATTCGTATTCCTTGTTTTAACCGTCTATTACTGATGACCTTCAAATTTCACCATGGTTTCAAAGCGCAGAATTGACAACTTCTGATAAAGTTAAATATAAGTGCACAACACTTGCACCGTCATACGTGGCTGTTACCAGAAACGTGCTCCATGTGACTGAGCCTCTTTAGCGTCATGGTCGAGCTCATCACGCGGTTGACGCCGCAACGGAACGCCTGCTCCCGCAGTTCCCGTACCGCTAGCAGCACAAACAACGGATCGGCCAGCTTCGAACCCAGCAAGCAGACGGTAAATACGCCCAACCACGCCCCACTCAACGGCACATACGCCGCCATCCAGTCGACAACCAGCATGGGCACCCACAACAGCACCACACTTATCGTTAGCAACGTCAGAACCTGAAGAAGAATTCAGAAACCTAAAGAAACGTAAAGAACGCTAGGAAACTCCGAAAAGTCTAAGAACCTTAAAAGCGTAAGAACCATAAGAAACCTAAGAAACCCAAGTAAATCTAAGAAACCCAAAAGGTGAGAAGCAATATAACTAAGAAAACATAAGAGAACCTCTAAAAATCGTAAAAAAATCCAAGAACCTTAAGTAATCCTTAGAATTGTAAAAAAAGTGAGAAATCTGGGGAACCTAAGAACGTAAGAAACCCACCGTAAAACCGCTATCCGATACCCTGGCCTGTTTGGTCGTGGCCCCGGTTTTACCGCGCGGCTGTCGGGAGCAGAAGATCCACGGATACGCACCGACCATAATAATAATGGCGGGCCCATACACCAGGCAGTGGATGGCGCTCTTAGTGGATGGGACGTTGTTGGTTGCCCCGCAAGCATTTGTCCCTGGGAGGAGACGGGTGTAGGGTGCCTCGATGAGGCCCAGGATGAGTTTGACCAGGTTAACGTACAGGAAGGCGGCTAGATTGAGGAGAATGGCCAGCCGCGGGGTGTGGCGGTTACGGTAGGAGATGGGGAAGACGATGGCCCACAGACGGTTGACGGTGACGAGGACGTGCACGAGAGCGACGCTGCCTATAAAAAGGTAACCCTCACCAACCGAAACGGCCCAACCTCAAATCCCCCCGGAGATCTCGACAGTTGTATTACGCATTCTAAAGAAGATGACGTAGCTTAGTCTGTCATTAAAGCAGGGCTAGTGTGGTCTTAAGAACGTCGTCGCTGTACAATAACTGTGACTCATTTCTTTACTGTATTATATTATATGATAGAAACATGCGTTGGGGCATTCTTCCGTCCGATCCGTCGGACCGCGAGAATGCAGTTAGTGAGTTGACCAACCTTTTACCGAGAAAAGCTACTGTTTATTTTGATTAGACGATAAGACCGGTGTTTCAGTCTCCTCAAAGAAAACCAATTCGCGATACCTCGAACTCGAAGTATACCATGTGTCGCACTGGGGTTATAAGGCACATAGATACGTAGTTGTTTACTGTGAAATCCATAACCAAGCTAGAGTAATTCATTGGTGCTACTAATGGGATACAAAAATATTGATATAATAAGCTGAATACGGTAAGCGGTGCAATGTTGTACTGACCTAAAAATGTGGTATCGAAATGGAAGAAGACCAAGCACACGGTGGGTGTGATGGAGCCGGCTGGAGCGAAGGTCTCCACTATCCGGCGTGCGATGATCAGTGCCGCGCTGATGAATGATACGCCCAGCAGACTGGACAAGTAGATGTAAAACGCGGTGAACTGCACACGAAACGCAATTAAATACAGCACATAAGAGTCGAGAAGCAGGGAAGCGAGTGCGGTCGTCGCGATAAACGACACCCAAGCAGTCCATTGACCACTGCTGCTGGAGACGTTACTGGATAAATTAACTGCTGGGTAAGACGTTATGTTGGGCTCCATGTCGTGCGGCATGAACGTGACAGATTTCATGGAAAAATTCATAGTGAAACGGTGCTTTTGACGCTACAAGGGTGATAACTACACTACAAGGGCGATTCCACTGCGTCAGCTTACCTGGGAATTATTACTGCTTTGAGTCAACAATAACAAGTACCGGAGACAGGTATCGCCAAGGGGACTATTACGTCCGCGATGGTATCATTCGCGGATCGATGCTGCTCCGCGATGTCGACAATGGCACTAGATACCCAAGAGCATCACATGTATGCGCGGGTGTGAGAAAATTATTTGCCCACTTCTATTGCCAGTATTAATAAGTAGAAGTTATGACGGCTTCTATGTAACCATTGTGGAGACTATACACTGAATCTAAAACGGATGCGGAAGTGTAACCAGTGACCTTTGACCTTGATCATGAGTCAAATTATCCTGGAAGTTTGGCCGCAATATCCCACGCAGCCAGTAGGACGTCTGATCTACAGATCTTTTATGACATTGTGTGTACAGTGTACTCGTAGTCTAGGTACTCGTACCCGTATTAGGAAAACATACACATAGAGGTGAAACTCATTTGCGGTATACAGTACAGTGGGACACGACAGCCGTTTCCAACGTGCATCCTAAGATGCTAACTGTTTTGGTTGTTTTCTTCAATGTGCATATTTCAACCACTTTTCGCGGATACGTTTTCTTTGCTGTGTCGGTTATGGCTAATACAGAATATGTATTGTACAGGTAGAAAAGCAAACCCTTGAAGAAGCTCTCGATCCCGGTCTGGCTTTGCATAAGCCACGTAATAATCTTATTCACCTTGAGTATAATGGACAGCGCCGCAAAAAAAGCACAACCAGCAAGATCAAATAAAAAAGCGATCCGAATCCGAGCCACTTAATATACAGTTGTTGTTGTTTTTGATTTTGTCTTCGATGATGATTGACAGATTGCACCGCAGGCTCGGTAATTACTGTCAAAAGTCAGCCAAACATTATCAAATCGTTCACCTCGTTTTGTCGCGGCCCGCGCAGTGTGTACAACGATAACTTCTGTCGATACAGAATTACGTTAAATACATCAGGTGATTAAATAACGATCAAGCGCATCCTGAGGCGGAAACTTGGTTTACTGAGTTAGGATGGAATATTTTTTTAAAACAACGACGTACTAATCCATACACCAATGTGGTACAATTTCGTACAAGTAGTGAACTCTGCGGAGTATCATCCGCTTGGTCGATGGGTTCCCCAGGCGCTGCGCAGTGATTAAAAAAATCAAGAGTTCAAATAAATACTACAGCATTACTGCGATGCCAACATTTCGTGCTTTCCTTTCTTAACTTTAGTTCAACAGAAAGGGACACTACGGAGTGGGCCAGGTGTTACAGTTGTTCGACCAGATTTATACAATTTAATGGCATTGCTATAATTACCAATGTTTTTACTAGAGTTGTCTCAGATTTTGTAGAAATCGTTCCCATTCAGTACTTGTTATAGTAATAATGCGGTTAATTGTAATCGTGATTTTTACAGCTACGCTGTTGCCCGTTTGTCGTTTTCTCGGTAAGTGTGTTTCTCCAGGCAAACCGCTTAAGGGAAGTGGCCCGGTACATGGTACCAAATTCGTGTACCTGCACCGAAACTTTCAACATCCGGTTCGGGAGTTATGGCTGTTTGAAAATTCCAAAAAGTGTAAATGCATTCAGGTGTACCAAAAGTCTCATTATGGACAGATCTCCTTCAAATTTTGCACGTAAATGCACATGGCCACGAAGAGCGTTTTTACACCGATCCACTGTTCTAGCATGATTTTAAAATTTTAAAATGAATTTCAAAAATTTTAAAATTAATTTTAAAATTTGAAAAAAAACATGGAAGTATGGATCGGTGTAAAAACGATCTTCATGGCCATGTGCATTTATGTGCAAAGTCTGAAGGAGATCGGTCCATAATGAGACTTTTGGTACACCTGAATGCATTTAAACTTTTCGGAATTTTCGAACAGCTATAATTCCCGAACCGGATGTTGCGCGCGCAAACGGTTTTCAGAGCAGTGTATACAAATCATTTGGCAACAGAATGTCATCAAACAAAAGAAAAAATGGTTTCTGAGTGCGCGAAAGTGAAAGTTTCGGTGCAGGTACACGAATTTGGTACCATGTACCGGGCCACTTCCCTTAAAATGTTTTGCAGATAGATTGTCAATCAAAACGCAGTGAAACTAAACTGCTGCAATACCGTCCAAATTGAGAAGGGTCGGTTTGCTATAAAAGTACAACATTTTGTGGTACTTAACAAATATTTGGGCTAGTGGTGAATTTTTCAGATACCGGTCTGGATTTGGAAAGCGACTGCAATCCGGCGCCAGAGGTCACACCACCAGCTACTGCAGTGCCATCGCCATCTTTACGCACCGATTTGTTGACTCAAGAAGAATGCTTGGTCTATCTCCAGATGCACGAAGACACCAAACGCTGCAGTCCAATCCGTTGGCTGGCCGATTGTCAGGCCTCTGCCTCGTCGTTCCTGATAGCCGCGACCCGAACGTACATCAACGTGGGTTGCTCCGGGGAAGATCGTGCCACCCTAGCCAATCTGACGCGCTTCATCAGTACAGTCAGTCCGCAACGCGCGGCCATCATCAGTCTGCAGGAGCGCAACGACACCACGGATACCGTACATTCTGACGTCATCGACCCGCTTCGCCAGCAGCTGGTGGAGATCACCGTCGCTCCGTGTACGACACCGCTGACCACCGCCAAAATCTACAACCTGGGTGTTCTGCCGGCGCTCGTTACACTGATCCTGGAAGACGGTCACCAGATGATCGTTGGGAAGAGAGATTTCTCCCGGATGCCAGGGATTCGTATGATCGTCTTGAAGTTGTGCAGTATGGCCTCGCTGGAACTGTACACCTTCACCGATCTGCCGCAACTGCAGAGTATTACGTTAGACAGCCACGTCGTCAACTATCTGTACAATATCCGAAATATCCAGCTAGGTTCCAAGCGCCGGATCGAACCGATGCCCGAGAAATTCAGTGCAGAGGATGTGCAGTGGTGGCGCACTCTGCACTGTGACTGCGCGTTAGCGTGGTTCCGCAATTTTCTTAAACAGAAACCGTTTCTCATGGCGGCGAGACGAGCGGGGGCGGTGGCAACTATCGGTACCTACCGAACGCCGTCGCTGGATTTTGGACGCTTTCCCGATGTGCTTAGTGTGGACTGCGCAAAGGAACTGGTCTACGACAACATCCATGCCGGCAGCCAGTTCTCCTACAACACCTCTTGCCATAATTTGCACTGTCCAGTTTAAGATGGCTTTGTCACCCGAAAAGTACAGCTATGAGGCTTTAAAAGTGTGTGCCCTTCAACTACACTGGAATTACTACACTAAACATCACATTAACTCTGTGCAAAAAGGCGAGATTTCATGTGCAAAAACTCTGAACTGCAGTCACGATAATTACGGTAAAAATTGTTACCAGAAGCCAGAAAATTAGTGTATTTATCATTCAGTCATTCACCTCGTTGCCGCTGTTAGCGGTTATAACATTCAGACTTCACAGTTCATATATTATCGGAACATATTAAAAAACAGTTAAGCAAGGCACACCTAGTTCTACAAAATTAATGAGTATTGAGTTGGAAAATAAAAGGCAGTTTACTTCGTGTACAGTACAAGGTGAAGGTACCAGTAAAAGGTTGCTTGACATGTAAAATTATTTGCTTAGCATTTGGATTTCCCAGGCGATACTCTGCACCTTGCTCAACAGTCCAAATAAATACTGCAGCAGACGCATTCGATTTCCTGGGTTAAGAGTAGTACAGCAGGGAGGGCGGTACGTTGCGACCTGTTGGAATATATAGCGAAGTAAACAAAAATGCTCAACACTGTAACATATATTAGAAGCAGTTAATTTTCTCTTGTCAGTTTTTGTACAAATTCCTCCATCCAGCATGCATGATGGCAGTGCTGCGGATCATGGTAATTTTCTGCCGTTAAAATCAGTTTTTGTACAAATTCCTCCATCCAGCATGCATGATGGCAGTGCTGCGGATCATGGTAATTGCGCTTTCTGCCGTTAAAATGTTGCCCACTTGTCTCTTGCTCGGTTAAAGTGTATTTCTAACAGTCAAACAGCGGCCAGTTCGCTTTGCAGTTCGTATCAACAATTCAAGCGCGCCTCTTTGCTACGAAGATGGAAAGTTCTCTTATTGACGGACGGACGCGTTTTAGGGGTACAAGTATAGCAAAAGGCAACACTGCAGCTATCCTGGCCATGCTGCGAGGACAAAATAAATTAGTCAAAATAAACAATCGTCGCTTGACGATATTTTTTGATTTTCTAGTCTTTAGTACGAGCGGTGGCACTGTATACTGTTATACTTGTGCTTACCGTAATACATGTGAAAATTGCATACTGGCACTGCTCTGAATTTGTCAGATGCCGATCTGGAAACCGACTGCAGTCCGGTGCCAAAGGTCACGCCAGTAACACCACCAACCGTTGCTGAATCTTCACTGACTTTGCGCCCCGATTTGCTGAGCCTGAGAAGAATGTTCAGCCTATCTAAAGTGGCATGGAGCCACCAAACTCTGCAGTCCGATCGAGTTACCAGGAGAATGTCGACCCGCCAACGCGCCAGAATTCGCCCCGTCCTCACTAACCGCAGCGTTCCGAACGTACATCACCGTGGGTTGCTCTTGGGAAGATCGTGCCACACTGGCCAATCTGACGTGTTTCATCAGTACTGTCAGTCCGCAACGCGCGGCTATCATCAGTCTGCAGGAGCGTAACGACACGTCACATCACGGACCCTTTATACTCTGACGTCATCGACCCGCTTCACCGGCAGCTGGTAGAGATCACCGTCGCCCCGTGTATGACACCGTTGACCACCGCTAAAATCTACACCCTGGGTGCTTTACCGGCTCTCGTTACCCTGGTTCTGGAACTAGCTGAGCAGCCGTTGATAGTTTGGAAGAAGGATTTTTCCCGGATGCCACAGATTTGTATGATCGCCTTTCGAATGTGTAGTTTGGCTTCGCTTGAACCGTACACCTTCAACGATCTGCCGCAGTTGCAGAGTCTGACCTTGGACAGCCATGTCGTCAATTATCTGTACAATACGTTTGATCACAAGTCTGGCCCGAAGCGCAAGGTTTCGCCAATGCCTGATCATTTCGGCCCAATGGAGTTGCAGTGGTTTCGTCACTTACACTGTGACTGCTCGTTGGCGTGGTTCCGCAATTTTCTCAAGAAGAAATCGTATCTCATAGCGGCGAAACGAGCAGGTGAAGTGGCTATGATCGGCAACAATTGGATGCCATCGGTGAGTGCCGGGAATGTGACCTTTCCCGATATACTCAGTGTGGACTGTGCGCGAGAACTGGCTTTTGATAACATCCATGCCGGCAGCCAGTATTCCTACAACACATCCTGCCAGAATCTGCATTGTTAATAGCATAAAATCTGTACTATTTTAATACATTTTTTGTTTTCCGGTAAGTATTACCAATTTTTTGTAAAAGTCATATTGTAAAGTAAGTATGGGTAGGCGTCACCGAACGGTTTTCCAATACTTACTTCACATGACTGCTACGTTTACGCGTGATACTGTCAAACCCGAAAAGCACGAGAGTTTGGGGCTGTACTCTGTACTTAATTTGTGCCGTGGTTTTTTTCGCTGTGGTTATCAAAATATTGGTAGAGGTATCAAAGATCATCACAAGTCTCACTCTTTTATTCGCAAAACTTATTCAGATTGCCGGAGCAGTGGAACTTACTGATTACGAAGCCAACTGCAAGCTGGTTGGTGACTGACGCTGCGTTATTTAGACTGGAGGTCGTCGTCCCAATGGTAGGAGGATACGGCTTCCCTTGCAGAAAATTGTTGCAAATGTAGACTATACAGCGACATTCACAACTGTACAAAACTACCACCAGCACAAAAACAGACGTTAACATGACAGCAACAGTTACAAAGCTATCCATGCTCCCACGAGTCTCAACTAAGACCACATCAAAGTTATCCAAGCGCGATGAGGCTGGAAATTAAACGCAGTACAGTATAGTGAAACATTGCCTTCCGATGGGAGTACTATTTGCAGCGCCCACACTCCTAGCCCGTCAGCTAACAAGGAACTGTTGTGGACCAACAAGACTGCGCCTTCTACTTTTTCAACCGAATACCTACAGTAAGTGGTGAAATGAAAATTAGAATGTCTATCAATACAATAGGTAAAACGGTTCTCGACAAATCGGCAATATTATGCACTTATCAGGGCATTTTTTCCTCTCCACATTCAGAAAAAAACTGCCTTCTGTATAAGGAAAAACCTCCATCAAACTGCAGTACTCTGTCGTTCTAAGAATACTTTGACCATTCTTTCAAATGCTCTTCAGGGATCGGACGGATCGGCAGCCCTCGAGAAGTCTCTCCGGTCAGGGATTGTTTGACCCATCATGGTAGCATGCAACGCCACCTACTACGGACACTGGGACATCCTTATGAGCAGACGAGAATGGACGGGGATGGCTACGTCAAGGTACTCATGGAAACCGTACAGAAAGGCACGATAATCATACGTATAAGGCTGACCGAGCCCTACTAGTACTGTTAAAGATGCGCATGTCACCGGCACATTTCCCCTTATATACTCTACCGCGCTTAATTAACGGAGTAAAGCACCACGTTGAACCGCAAGGCTTGCTTCTAATCCAGTATTGCGCCTTCAGGAAGTGCCGCGATTGCATATTTAACGTGGCATTTTTTCAATCTGTTTTATCACTGTGCTTCGCGCGAACAACAAGTTGCAAAGTTGCCCCTTTTGAAATTTCAAATGCCGTCGCCCATTTACGTACTTTCTGCATGGCCAGTGCTGTTAACACTTTCCAGGAAGAATTAACTGAGTTCTGGCAAAAGTTTCAAGACTAGGCAGCTAACCATACACTCCGAACACACTTGTATCTGGTACTACATTTTATGCGGAATTGAACTGCTGAACAGAGCTGTAATCGTATGGGAGGCCGAGCCGGACGACGGAGCCGGGCGCTTTGCAAATTATTCTAATTTGTCTGGAAGACATGCAAAACAAGCACGATAAGCGTCTTAAAAGCGGGGATGTTGACTAACGTTATACTGCACAATACTATTTAGGATTTTTGCCAAAGGCTAGGGTGCATCAGGCCACCAAGCGTTAACGCACCTGCACTGTATTGACGTATGCGGAAGGATGAGGTGCTTAGAAAATCGCGAGATAGTGTTTGCGGATGCGGCAGGAAGGTTGAAGCGGCGTCTTCGACTATCAATTTTCAACCCGTTTAGCAGGCAGTGTCCGTTTAATCGAATGTTTTAGTCCCTTAGACTTTAGGTACATGCATATACCTAGGTTAAGGGTCTAGGTTAGTACACGATGGCTTTGAATAACTTAATAAAATTAAGCCTCTAAAATTCTTTGATTTTTTCTGGGCGCTTGCTTATGATCCAAAATGCGTGTTGTCAGAACGTTCGAAAGGTGACTCAGAGAATAATGCATGCGGTTTTCGCACGGTTGCCAGGCAATTGATACCGGATTCACAGTAGCCTCAAAAACTCTAAAGTTATGTAAAATTCTTCAGGTTTCCCCGTGGACGTAATCGTGCCGTTTTAATAGCGCGTGTGCAGTCCTTCATTGGAGCTAGTATTTTCAAAAGTTTGTTTAATCTTTGCAGTTCGGATAATGATGGAACGGCGCAGTTGTCGGCCTGGAAATGCAGCAGATGCGGCTAGTGATATAATCATGAGGTTAGCTTACCATATCCTCACACTGGGATTTTTTATTATTATTGATGTGGATGGGTGTCCGCGCCAATCAACCCCGAGTAAGCGTAATCTGTCACGGTGCACGCTGAGATCCCCATGATGGCACCTCGCGATACAGACGACCGTGTTAATATACTCGTATATCCGGCAAATAAAAAAAATTCTGCGACCTGAAATTTGGCCCTCCAGTGTTTTCGAGAATGGGTGTATGGATGAACATTGTTAGCTGCTTGTGAAACCTTTTTTTGATTTTTTACGCTTAGTTGATTTGATTTTTACGTAGAGTAGTGCTTATGTTGTTGTGATTCTGATTTATTATAAGTAGCTGTCCTTAACTGTGGCAGCTTATCGTGACCGTTTCTCTATAACATTGTGCAGGCGCCTGACTGTTGCAGACGTTAAAGTGATTAAACAAACAAACACTAAAAAAACCAATGAAACGTCAGTACCAATAAATCTCCCAATTTCGTGCGTTTTCTCTCATTTTTTCTTATTTTTAAATTGCAGTTTATCATTTTTGGCCACTTCACGCCCGTGTAACAGCTTTTTAGGACGTAGTTGGCATTCGTATTTTATGACGGTCACTACAACCTACGTGTAACAAGAAGTCGTCGTTTTTGATTTTTCTTAGTGTCACTCTCAACACAACTGATAACCAGCATGACGCTGTTGATTACAGTTGAACGAGCAGAAATGGCAGTGCGTGAGGCCGAAGCCAAGATGACTGACCGGGTGATTATCCTTCCCTCTTTTGAAGACAGTACCGTGCCCGCAGAGAATGTGCGGCGCGTCCCCTTGGGATCCACCGTGACCTTCGCCTGCAACGTCACAACATCCTCTGGCAGCGCTGCTACCCAGGTGATCTGGCGACATCGCAACAAAACCGTCCGTGCCAATGAGACGGCACAGAACAACATAGGCTACTTCTACCGCCTGCAGAACACCGCCAACACCAGCCTCCTCTCCATCCATAACGCCACACGGGCCACGGCTGGGACAGTGGAATGTCTGCGACCCTGCAGCGGGCGCGACTTGTGCCTGATCGAGGATTATGAGTTACGGCTACAGTATCGCGTCCAGGAGGTTTTTGGGCCAGCTATGCGCAACGTGTCGACACCCTGTGGAAATTCTCCATGACTTGTGCCGGTCGGTTTGACTGCAGTACTACGCTAGCCAAGAATCATTTTATCTGGAAATATGACGGACAGTTTGTAACGGCCCCATACGCCTATCTCGCGGCCATTGCGGAGCGTTCCCACTTTCCCGGTGTGGATCACGGGGAATTTGCCGGCAGCGCTTCCCCTAGCGGTGAGACGGATCCGCTCTGCATTACCACACTGATCATGACGATGAAGAAGACGATCAATCATCGACCGGCACGGGTTGACTGCTGGGTGCGCACGGATGTAGACACCCACCAATGGTTTGTGCAGTCAGCTTATGTGCAGTTCACACAGTCCTTCCGCTAAGCTCGACGATGAATTACGAGCATCTGATACCTTGCATGCTTAAGCAATTATTAAATGCTTGAGTTGCTAGCTAAAATGTTAAACTACTGAAGGTTTATAATGTTTAATTTAATTTATTATGTCAATCTCGGGGGGATTAAAAATACTAGTATTGCAATAATTCTTGGCGAATATTTAGCTGCATGCCGAAATTAGTGGCAAACAATTCAGGTTTTAATCGCGAAGGAATTCAAGAAAAACGGTAAAATGATCTGCAAAATAAGAGCAGCAGCGTTAATGTCAGCACGTAGCTGGTTTCATGTAAATAGCATGATTAAGCGTAAGTTGACCATACCCCGCAGCCCCGCAGGACTGTAGACTATCATGATATGTACGCATGTAATCGGATTAAGATTAGCTGCGGCACGATAAGCTGTGCGCTTCCTTGCATTGTTTATTGGGAAGTTGATCCGTGGAATTAAGCGCTTTAATCGAGGCACTGTCTGGCGAAAAAAATATCGATTCGCTATAATTATGTTGTGTCCCACCTGGAAACTTTACAAGAATCGTGCGTAAGCCGATCTGGATGGCATACAATTCTTGTTTTCACACTTTTTGCGTTCGTAATCTGGGAATGTCGTGCACGGATTAATGCGATAATTCAGCGGCGCGACGTTTGCGGATTACAAACCTAAATGTCAGTATCTAATTCAAGGACAATATTGCTTCCCTAAGTCAGTTACTGTACACTAACCCTGCACTTGACAGAAATTTGTACGCATTGAGCGATACGGTACTGTATACAGTAGCCGGATAAACGTTCAGCCGATTCACGTTTATAACATGCACTAGCTGCAGGCCGTGTATGTGAATGGTGAATGCGCTCGTGCAAGTGCGAGTGGCTGCATTGTACAAATTTCCGTCAAGTGCATGGTTAGAGTACAGTATCGAATCGACACGCAAATTAAGCACAACACAAAACTGCCTGTAGCACCCCGTTAATACTGTATTTATATGCCTGTAAGATATTATTTCTGTCAGTCGACATAACGCTACGCATGTATTCAAAGATGTTGGTGCTTCAAAAGTTGACCTTAAAGGCAATCTTTCTTCTTCTGCACTTTTGGCTCAGTGAAAGCGTGTCACCTTTAGACGAGAAATCAAAACCCTATTATCATCCTGACCATGGTAAAGAGCTCCGCCCGGAAGTTACTAACTTACGGCAAGTGTTTATGCACGTGATTGCCGGTTATACGATTGTGACGACGACCATTAACATCCTCACTGCCTTCATCCAAGTCACCTTAATCGTACTGGACTCCGACAAACGTTGTCATGAAACGATGATCTTATACTCCCGCTGGGCGGAAGAAGACTATCAACATGGCGAGCTGATGCTGATACTGGGACGAATAGAGTCTAAGTTGGGGAACCGACGCAACAGTAAGTCATCGTATATCACCCACTTCAGCTAATCCGCTTTTCTGCTGATAACAATTTAATGTATGAATGTGCCATCAAAGGTCATTCAGAGATATTGGCCAGACTAAAAATATCAACAGAAAGAAGCCCAAGTTTAATACGGCAGTTGGCTCAGTACATATCGTGCTTATACTGTTGCATCTTGCATGCCCTTTCCCGGTCTTTTGTTCCATCGACTTCCACTTAAAATAAATAAAATACATGTAGATAGACAGAATTTCTTAGCATTATCCCCACCCATAGACAGAATTTAATTCTTACTGTTGGATGTTTTTCTTATGCGTAATGTTTGGCTTCGATATTCACTGGCACTGTCATCAGGCATCAGGTTTTCGATATGGTTTGGCGGCGTACCAAATAATATTACGTTGACTGAATAGCGACATTCGAAAATTTGATAATAGTGTAATATTAAAATGCTATATAAAATCTGGTATTAACGATATATTAAAATGTGGTAGCAATAAATGGGATCGCAGCGCCGCCACCAACCACCACCGGAAATCTAATCGACGATGTTGCACCGGAACAAGCCGTCAACATGCTTATCGAAGAATTAAAGAGCGCCTTGAACCTTACCGAAGCCACCGTGAAGCAGTTGAAGGATGCCGGCTTCACCGGCACCGATGACCTTTCAGCTTTGGCTAAGTCCTCCAGGTTTCCCGAAAACCTAAGTTTCGTCACCCAAATCCGTGACCGCACCGTAATTGAAAGCTACCTCATCGACAATGCCACCGAAATACCGGATAGTGCGCCAGTAACCTCGGCATCCATTGTAAATGAAAGTGGACCAGAGCACAGACAAGCAAGTCATCCATCAGCCAGTTCATCACAATCCAGAAACAGTCGGCATCGCCATCCTTGGAAAGCAGGTGAGGGTAGTTGTGATAGCAGTGACAGCGAAGTCGATACAAAATCGTTTATCCGATGTCGTCATAAATCTGAAATACTATCCTCCAGATCCTCGAGATTTGCCCAAGAGCGGTCGAATATTATCATTCCCGCATAAAATTGCTTATAAGGCTCCTGTCAGTAAAAAGCGTAATCTAAAGGTCATGGCTCTTTTGTTCGAAGAGCTAATTCAGAACAGTCTATCGATTGCTGATATAATGCAATTAATGCGCTGTAATTATCCATTGCATTTTCGTGCACTTTAATGAAAGCAGAAGGAAACTTTGTGTGAACGGAGTTGGGTATGAATTAGATATTAATGCACAGGAATTATAAGCATTAAACATTAGTTTTGTCTGTGAAGCGCTGTGTGCGGCATTTATGTCTTCAGGATATTACCAAAAGTGATAGTAATACGCCTCCTTTAATATTTTAATGGATACGAATCATACGATACTGTTGGAGCCCAGCATATTAAAGAAAAAGTTAATTTCAGAGTTCAGTCTCAGTCCTGGAAAATGTAAAAAGTGTTCACCGGAAGGGGCGAAGCCAGATGGCAACGGTAAGGCATCTCATCGCAAAGTGACGCAGGCAAACAAAGTACTAAAGCTATGCAAACATATAATATATAAGCGCTTAGATGTTTGATTTGCGGCACTTTTGCTTTAATAGCTTGTTGGTATATATGACCTTTTGCGTTTGAATAATTATAAGTTAGCACTGCGCTTTCACATTGCTGCTTTATTCTAGATTCCTGCTTAAAATCTCATTGTCAGCCAAACCTAGCGGGATCTCACAAAACAAGACCCCGTCTTCTTATCGTGTCTGAACGACCTGCCCAGATCCCACTACGGCCTTACAGAGGCTTACATGACCAACCCAGCTGTTTTGATAGCTGTCTCCGTGCCAGCCGTACCGATGACGAAGCCGATCCGTAGTTTCGACCTGTGAACTGCTTATATATGATTTAGTTGGAAAAACACCGCCATTAGGCGCTCCCGATAGCGTGGTCACAATAAATTCTTACGGATACTGTATAGCCACCATCACGATTTTAGCATTCTCGCTTCTTTTTATGGCAAATCGATAATATAATAAATTTTTTCTTATTTATTTATTTATTTATTTATTATTATTATTATTTTTTGTTTACGTGTGAATTAATAGCCACTTTGAAGAATTAAGCTCTAAAGAAGAATCCTATTATATTATTCGAATTCGAATACTTATTTCGAATACCTACTTGTTAATAAAACAAATATACTGACTTTGAAAACCGTGTTTGTAAAAGTACTATCGGTAGAATGTATGTTGAACCGCACGTATGGCCAGTTGTCTCGGTAGTCAGTACTTCTTCATAAAATAATTATAACTGGTATGAACTGGTATGAACTGGTATGAACTATCACAGTCGTCCGATCGCGATTCAAGATTCAAGATGAGATTCTGTGTGCGTTTGCCTTGACAATATCACCGCCCTTGTAGTGTGGCCACTGGCACAAGTTGTAAAGGAAAGCAAGTACTGTAAACGGGAAATGTTAGATGCCACGAGTTTAACGTTGACAGAAAATTCCGTTTTTAATTTTACAATCAGTGCGAGGCGGTAGTATTGTACAGCAATTACACGCAAAAGACGGCCAAACTCACGCACAGGTTCCTAAAATATGCGATCGTCACGGTGCACATCCAGTATTGTACATGCGGGTGGTAATCGGCGAATGCGGAACGACAAGAACCTGCGAGCGACATGTGCTGTTTTAAGAATATGTTGATGTTTTTCTCATTAGTAACACTTTCACTATGCGGTTTATTTACGACCATAAAAGAATAGAAAACATGGACCATCGACGGGATACCGCTCAGTACTTGCTAACTGAACGGAAAACGGCGTACTTGGCATCGATTATCGTGGCAGGATGTTCTGCGGTGCGTCGAACATTGTGTCCAAATGTAGGTGCCTCGTAACGCCAAAAACTGTTGGCATGCCAGACTGTCAACTATTCCGAATGCTGTGGAACAAAACAACCACACTATAAAATTTGTTAACTTTTTCAGTTTTTTTAGTATAGTTTTCTGAGACCGTAAAGTACGTACTACGAGTGTTCCATATTTTTTTATTAAAGATGTTTTTTGGACACTATGCTTACAATTCGTTTAGAGACCCACGGTACAGGAGAGATACTAGTCTGACGATTTCTCAAAATATCGTGATGATGAAGTGCATTACTTCCATTTCGATTGTACGCTACACACTTGTAAAAACGTTTTACCTATACGTTGACTGCATACACCGTGGAGACATTATCGTAACAGCATAAAAAAACTTTTGAATTGGCAAAACGTAAAACTTTTGAATTGGCAAAACGTTGGCCTGTCGTAGAAATAGCCCTGACAATCCAGAGTAAATGTTGCTTTTCGGGTACCCTTTATCCTTTAACAGAAAATTCGTAGAGCTTGAATTAATTTTCTGTTGTTTATGTGTAAATCAGTTTTTTAAGTATTTCTATTGCATTTCCTGCTACAAATGGATGCAGATGTCTAAGGACAACTTAACGTCCGGCATAATGTCTGTGCAGCTAATTTTATTCACGTCATCCGGGCGAGTAATTAATCATCATGGGTGTAATCTCCTCGTTTAATAGCGCCCTGGTAATGTGCGGCAAAAGCGTATCAGCGACACAGAAGGCATCGTGATACTGACCACTATGAGACGTCTGGACTGAGGCCGCCTTTTTTTCGTTCTCTCTTCGGGCCGTGATTTTGGCCAATGGTTCATATCTTGGTGCTCATGCGAACATCAGGCACATACTGGAATTGGATTCGATGCTGCTGCTTTCGGTAATTTTAATAGCTGCTGCTAGTGATTTTTAATTTTGAGTTTCTCTTTTCCGGCGGAACTTCCAAAAATGCTGTAGGCAAATTGGTCAGATAAGGTACAATTACTGTAGACAAAACATGTTGAACCGTATAGATAACTTTCGCCTTAATACTCTGCAATATTGTTGTTTTTAATACGAGTCTTATTGCCGTCTACGTAAAAACATAAGAAATAGGTCGATGCTGCAATATACAAGGGAAAACACGGGTGTTGGCTGCGTGCACGGGTGCTTGTATGGCAGCGTGCACAGCTTTTTCAATTTAAATGTTTTAATGATTCTCGAATTTCGGTCTAACACTTATAGTTTTCCAGGTCTTATTCAACCACAACAGTTTTTTTAACCGGTTTCTTACATATTTTTTCATGTACCATAAATCCATAATCTACAGTATTAATAGTTACAGATACTTGGTTTTGCGGCTCAGAATTTTTCTACACGGCTTGATGCTAATGAGAACGGTGTCAGCTGTATGCTTTATAAGCGGCAACCAAGTGTATTCGCAGCAGACCCTGCTCAAAAGTGACCGTTCCAGGATCCATCCCGAAGCAAACACGGTAGCCATGGCTATATATTACAGAAATTCTCATGAAGAAGCTATTACAGAAATTCTCTTTCTGATTTTTTTTAATACTCTTTTTCTGACTGACTGATCACCACACATCCTAAGCACCCTGGAAAGCTAAATCAAATTACTTGTTGACTAATGCGTCGTCGTAATCCTCTGCGGTTTACACAACCGGTTGCGGCACGCACCCACTTTCTCCCGGAATCCCCGCAGCGCCATGGCGAACAGGATGGGGTCCAGCGCCGGCTGCAGCGACCACAGCAACTCCACCGCCACGGAGAACCGGGTGCGCCGCACCCGAAAAAACAGTATCAAACAGTAGTTGATCACCTGCGGCGTCCAGCACACACAGACGCATCCTGTCAGCAAAGTCAACACCAGGAACGACCGGCTGCGCACGGTCCGCAAACTTTGCCCGGTGGGTACGCGAGGTCGCCGCGCGGGACCCTCCCCATCTTCCTCCGGGAAAACCTCCCGCAGTGCCCCGATCCTTCGGCGGCGGAAACGCCAGTACCAGATCAGTGGGTACGCCGTTACGATGATACACAGCGGCGCGATGTAGAACAGTCCCACACTCGCGTAGATAAAACGCTGTTGCAGCAGGTTCGCCGCGTTCACCACGCACAGGACGTTGTCCTTCGGAGTGCGGTACAACACCCCATCGACGATCAATCCCGGTAGGACAAACAGATTGATGTAGATCCAGGGCAGCGCATTGATGACCTTTGCCGTCGTCTTCTTGTGCTTCTGCTGGTAGCTGATCGGGAAGAGCACCGCCCACAGACGGTTCGTCGTAATCAGGACGTGGCACTGCATCATCAAGGTGTCGGAGGAGAAACGCGCGAAGTCGGCGAAGATGTAGGTCTCGCAGAAGATGTGGGTGTGGGGTTGGTGGGGGTCGAAGGTCAGGATGAGTTTCAGCGGGACGCCGACGGTGGCGTGGAAGAGGTTGGCCAGGTTGAGGTTGATTAAGTAGGTGATAAAGGGGTTGCGGCGCATGGCGTGATCGGTGAGGAAAATAATGAGAACCAGGGTGTTTAGACAGAGGGTCACAGCGAAGATAGAGAGTTCCGTGGGGAGGGCGTAGGCTAGTGCGGAAAGGGATGGTGCGTATGAAGCATTGGATTGGTTCATTGCATTGAAGACATTTGAAAATAAATTACCGGCACATTCTTTCCGCTCCAGAAAGCGTTCGTGTAAAAGCGATACCGAAAAGCCGAGAATTTAACCAGTTTTATATCTGCTTAAGATAGTCATTATGCTTTGGCTACCCAGAGCAAATCATGGTTCTCTCCGTAAACTAGCATTTTTTTAAAAAATGATAGTCTCCCTCCGGAATAAGCTCAAAAGATCACAGTAATGGTTTGACTGCAATAGCACAGGCATACAAGGTTGTCCGGACGACGCCAAATTACAAGACGATGCAAAGACGGCCGTGTAATGTGGTGCCGGCTGTTGGGAAATGAGATCTTTCCGGAGTCGCTCCCTTTAATCAATCACGCAGTCACGAGCAAATTCCACTTGGCTATCATTTTCGGCTACGGCCAGATCACGCTAATACGCATCAAAGCAGCGAAATTAGCCTTTACGGCTAATCACTATATAATAATCGCGTAAGCCTTAACGAAATTCCCACTCTGTCGAGTTCGTCAGCCCGATCCATTGAATCAAAATTCCATCTCTACGTATCATTCGATAGCCCATGGTGTGTAGATTTGCCATCACAAGTCAGTTTTTAGAGAAAAACAAAGGTTTGAAGGAAAAGTTCAAAAACTTTAACATAGAAAGCCAATAGGAAAAGTTGAAAATCCACCACTGCAAAACTTACCACCCCACCACTGTCTCGACAGCTAAAACGCGTTTTGGTCAACTTTGCTGGGATGGGAGGAAAGTTCTTGAATCAGGACCACGTATTATTCCGTAGTATTGATTCTTGAATGAAATCATGAATTTTTCATAAGCAAATGGCGTCAGAAACAGTGAGATGTAGGTAGGAAAGAAGACCTAACAAAGTCTGCGAGTACTGTACGGAACTGCTCAAAACTGTTTCTCAATGAGCTGCCGTTCGCAGTGGTTTGACCAGTTTAAAGTTGCAACGTCTCCACGGGCGGTTGCCATTGGTACTGATATACCGTTGAAGCCGCAAAAATTTGCAATGACTTGCGACTCGCAAGTTGCGAGTACTGTTAATTTGTTTTCTGTGGAACAAGATGCCCGAAAACGATGGTACTGCATGTTTAGGGAGGATGATATTGTATGTTTATGGTCTAGGGACAGCAACCTGGCAGCTGCATATCCTACACGAGCTTCGTTAAATTAACTGCAGCAAAGCTATAGAAGACATTAGAAGTATAGCTAACAAGTTTTATTTGAGTGACTGCATAATAGGTAGTTGCTTAGCGGTCGTTAGGCGCGTCATCCAAAGGGAATGCTTCATGATTGAGAACGAGAGATTTTGCGAAACCTTCAATAATTTCCTTCGTTTTTCATAGAAGGCGGAGCCGCAGGCGACGCCGAGCTGCGGCGCTAGCGGAGCTCGCGGAGCAGCAAGCGAGGCAACCTACATACTTTACATCTTCTGCTAAACGAGCGACGAAAGAAAATTAAGAAATATTACAATATTTTAAAATGGCTACTTATGTTTTCTAAAAAGTAATTTACTGTTAATTGCGTTGTGAATGCAAAACAACAGAAAACCAATTGAAAGTCGGAAAATTTTCTGGTAATTTGATTGTCAAGCGGGAGTGTTTGATTCCGTCAGTAGTATTTCCAGACAGCCACTGCAAGGCTAATGCCTAATGGTACCTTACCTGTACAGTGAATTTCGAAACAGCGCGGCTGAGAGAGCGAATCGCGATGGTAAAAATGGGCAGGCAGATAATTTGTGTTTAACAGTAAATTACACAGCTACTGTTTTGCAACTGGGCAAATAATCTGAAATTTTGAATGATACGAGTAGTTAATTAGTTGTTTACTGTTGTGGTGCGAAGGATTCGTTCTGTAGAGCTAAGTCGAAAGCCGGTCCTCATGAGCCCTGTCTAGGGTTGTCCTGGCAGTCCAGAGACATCAAGAATTTGAAAACAGTTATTTCTCTGCATTGAATTATTCATCTCTTATTTATTCCGCGCAATTTGCGCGGGGTCTACTAGTTACGTATATAAATTTGACCAACCGAAAACCAGAAAAGATAGTACAGACTGCAGTATACAAGTGTCATTTCCCGATCACCCATGCCAGGCCTTTCCTGTTTCCGCTCATCATTTGGCGAAAAACGGGGCGGGTTGATCTTGTTAACGCTACCATGAACAGTATGCACATTCGACACGCTAACCGGTAGCGGCTTGTTCCGTTTTCCCTGATACGCTTCTGACGTGCTCGTTTTTCTTGTTTACTGGAGCAATATGACGTGGATAGTGTCTACTAATGGTGCTAATAAAAGTGAGCAGACGGATGTTGACAAAATAACTGCGCACATTCGAGTTCTTTATTATGTGTTTTGCTTGTGATACCATGGCCACAACAAAGTCACATGCGAACTGAAAGCTGCCTTATTATGGCAATTCTGAATCCTCCATGCAGTATTATTCATGTAATGAGAACATAAATTTGCCTTATTATGGGAATTCTCCATGCAATATTATTCGTGAAACGAGAGAACGGACACAAAAGAACAAGTCAAAGATTTGATCAGAAGATTCGCAAAACAGTGTAAAAGTCTGCCCTATGTTTCCATCGTGCTGGCTATCCAATCCAGCACGGCCGAGGGACGGGCGTACACTGTGGGTACCCATGGATGCCCGCATCCACTATAAAATGTACACAAGCACCGAATTATTCATGTGGTTGCTACGAGAAATATGAAGACGCTGAAGGTTTCCCAGTTATGCGGACTTACAGAGACGACACAAACGATGTGATGCCGTGCAGTGTCCACTGTCCGGTCGCATCGTCACGGCACACCAGGGGACCGCCGCTGTCACCGGAACAACTGTAAAGTACAACGTGCGCGCTTAACAACATAACAAATGCAATGTTCAACAAGACTGGGAAAGGTCAGTTTCTCTGTGTAAGCTTTGCGCGACGCGCAAGCCGTAGTCCCGTATAAAACGTGCAATATGTGGAAACAAGCTTGGAAACCATATGCTGCAGACTGCAACGTATGCCGTGCACCCATTACACGGTTTGTGAAAGGTCAGCCGGTAAAGCAGTACCTGCTTTTTCCGGATGTCAGCGTGCAGATCATGCGGTCCGTAATCACAGCGTAGATTCGTTTGCAGATAGTTTGCGAGTAGATTTGGACGTCTACTTGGCGGAGAGCGAACGGATACACCGGAGCGGAGAGATTCTTGGCGGTACTGTAATTTAACACGAGTTTAAAGATACCGCAGGTGAAAGCTATACATAAAGATATTAGAAATAAAAATACTGAGTAAAGACAATTTAAATTAATATGTAAGTACTGATAGCAGACGAGGTACTGTACGGACTGTTCTTACCTGCCCCAGCCAGTTGTGTAGCATGTCGCTCCAGCTGGTGGATCGCTGGATGCGTTGGCCGGTAAACACACTGGTTGAACATGCTCGCTGAAGTTCATTACCTAAAAAATCGCCAAACTGTTAACATACGAGAAGATATCTGTACGTACAAGATGTGTACAGTGTGTAAAAAATTCGGTGGCGTACTCGTTTTGTTTTCAGCAGACAGTAGTCGTTGTTGACGCGATTACCGGCTGCGCCGTATTGTGGATGGACGTGCACACTGTCCAGCAGTAAACCGAGTTCAGTTGCTCTAGCAGCGTCGTTGTAATAAGCACGTAACCTACCGCTGATAAAAGTCGAAAATTAATGATAAACTTCAAACAAAAAATATTACATCAGCGCTTTTAATATTTTTGGGATACGTGCGCATAGTTTGTTGAGAAACCCGCGATCCAGACTACTAGTGCTTTACAAATTCGGTTTTCAAAGTTCGTATAATTGTTTCGAATTCGAATAATATTTGGATTTTCCTTTAGAACTTTAATTCTATTATCAGAGGATATCTGAAGACGGTCGACCCAGGTTTCCAAACACGTGATCATCCAGCGGTACTACCCAGTGCACTACCCTACACACCGACACCGTAGGCATGCTAGGAATTTTGGATCAGAGTACCGACCCGATGCTGACATCTTACTGTCACTGTGGTGTATTAATTACTGTAGGTAATTAACGTTTAATAGATTTCACCCAACACACAGTAATGAAACTCTTGCAAAGTCGCTTTCAAGTTGCAGTGCACACTCGGAAGGAAATGGAAAGCGGATATCAAAGAAAATTAATTATATATATTAATTATATTATAAGAAATGAAGCCATAAAAGAGGCGAGAATGCTAAAATCGTGATGGTGGCTGTCGGTTAGAGTTTATTATGACTACGCTATCGGGAGCACCTGATGGCGGTACCGGTACGTGATTTTCCACTAAATCAGATACAATGTAGGACAAAATGGTCGCATAGCCCCATACCCAGCATTCTGTACGCATGCGGTGCAGTGCACTTGTACGAACCGGATAATTTTTGAACTCAGTCGTACAGTGCACTGCACTGCATTCGTACTGAATGTGGATATGTTGGGTATGCGACCATTTTGTCCTAAGCTGTATGAGCGGTTAACAGTACGAAACTACTGTACAGATTGACGTCGTCATCAGCACGGCCAGCACGGAGACAGCTATCGAAGCAGCTGGGTTGGTCATATAAGCCTCTGTAAGGCCGTAGTGGGATCTGGGCAGGTCGTTCAGACACGATAAGAAGACGGGGTCTTGTTTTGTGAGATCCCGCTAGGTTTGGCTGACAATGAGATTTTAAGCAGGAATCTAGAATAAAGCAGCAATGTGAAAGCGCAGTGCTAACTTATAATTATTCAAACGCAAAAGGTCATATATACCAACAAGCTATTAAAGCAAAAGTGCCGCAAATCAAACATCTAAGCGCTTATATATTATATGTTTGCATAGCTTTAGTACTTTGTTTGCCTGCGTCACTTTGCGATGAGATGCCTTACCGTTGCCATCTGGCTTCGCCCCTTCCGGTGAACACTTTTACATTTTCCAGGACTGAGACTGAACTCTGAAATTAACTTTTTCTTTAATATGCTGGGCTCCAACAGTATCGTATGATTCGTATCCATTAAAATATTAAAGGAGGCGTATTACTATCACTTTTGGTAATATCCTGAAGACATAAATGCCGCACACAGCGCTTCACAGACAAAACTAATGTTTAATGCTTATAATTCCTGTGCATTAATATCTAATTCATACCCAACTCCGTTCACACAAAGTTTCCTTCTGCTTTCATGTTGCGTGATTTAACTTCGAAGAAGCGAAGTACGATCAAACTTGAACAATCCATTAAGGAAAGAAAAATACATGGAGGAATCAGATTACAGAACACAGCACGTGCTTTCATTAAAGTGCACGAATCTGCCATGGATAATTACAACACATTAATTGCATTATATATTTTGCCCCAATTACCGAGCGTTTACTTCCGTTGGGCAACGAAAATCCCAGACGTTTCGCTGCTCTTCTGAAGTCATCATCAACTGCGCTACGAGTACCGCTTCTTTTTTTAATCCGATACGCACTGACACCAAAAATTCAACATACTGCAACTCTGCAAGTGTGTACTCTTGTATGGTCACTGCATAATCACCTTCAGTTTCTTCCGCCACAGTATGAGCAATCGTTAGACTGTTCAGAATCAGCTCAGCTTCGAACGAAAGAAACGTTAGATTACGATTTTTACTGACAGGAGCCTTATAAGCAATTTTATGCGGGAATGATAATATTCGACCGCTCTTGGGCAAATCTCGAGGATCTCGAGGATAGTATCTCAGATTTATGACGACATCGGATAAACGATTTTGTATCGAATCCGCTGTCACTGCTATCACAACTACCCTCACCTGCTTTCCGATGATGACGATGCCGACTGCTTCTGGATTGTGATGAGCTGGCTGATGGTTGACTGGGTTGCCTGCGCCAGTAACATCGGCCTCAACTGTAGATGAAGGTGGAGCAGCCTCCACCTTCATCTACAGTTGATGCCGAGGTTACTGGCGCACTATCCGGTATTTCGGTGGCATGGTCGATGAGGTAACTTTCAATTACGGTGCGGTCACGGATTAGGGTCACGAAACTGAGATTATCGGGAAACCCTCCAGGTTTCCCGATAATATCAGTTTCGTGACTTAGCTAAAGCTGAAAGGTCATCGGTGCCGGTGAAGCCGGCATCCTTCAACTGGTTCACGGTGGCTTCGGCAAGGTTCAAGGTGCTCTTTAATTCTTCGATAAGCATCCCATTTATTGCTATCACATTTTAATATATCATTACTATCACATTTTAATATCAAATTATTATCACATTTTTCGAATGCCGCTGTTCCATCAACGCAATATTTTTTTGTCCATCCACATGTACTGTTATTTTACATGGAAGTGGAAGGAACAAAGGAATGAGAAAGGGCATGCAAGGTGCAATAGTACGAGCACGGTACTGAGCCAACTGCCGTATTTAACTTGGCCTTATTTCTGTCGGTATTACCGGCTTGTCCAGTATTTCTGTATGACCTTTGATAATGCTTAATCATAAACTTACTGTCAGCAGAAAAGCGGATTAACTGACGTTTATAATACGATGACTTACTGCTGCGTCGGCGTTTGCGCTTGCTGTTCAACCGCCACTCAATCCGCCCTAGCGCCAGTAACAGCTCCTGATGCTGATAATGCTTCTCCTCCCAACGAGAGTATAAAGTAATCGTTTCATGATAACGTTTGGCGGAGTCCATCAGGATTAAGGCCACTTTGATAAATGTGGTGAGAATATTGACGGTTATGGTGACCAGCATATATCCGGCCAGAACGTCGGCAAGCACCTGGCGTAAAGTACTGGCTTCCGGGCGGAGCTCATTACCATGGTTCGGATGAAATTCGGGGATGGACTTCTCGCCTAACGGTTTCAAGCCTGCAGTAAGCCAAAAGTGTAAAAGAAGAAAGATTGCCCTGAACGTCAATTTCTCCAGCACCAACATCTTTGAGTAGATGCAAAAGCAGGCGCAGCTTTACGACTGACAGAATGATGTCTTATAGATAAATTTAACGAGGTGTTACAAGCCGTCTTGGGTTTACTTTGCTGTCGAATCAATAACTGAAGACTGAAGTGAAAACAACATTATCCATGAATTAAATACTGACATTTGGGTCTATAATCCGGCAACGTCGCACGCTGAATTACTGCATTAGTACGTGCACGACATTCACCAGATTACCAACGTAAAAAGTGCGAAAACAAGAATTGTATGCCATCCAGACCGGCTTACGCGTAATTCTTGTAAAGAATCCAGGTGGGACACAAGATAATTATAGCGAATCGATAATTTTTTCGCCCGACAGTGCCTCGATTAAAGCGCTTAATTCCACGGATCTATCCTCGCGCGTACATTAAATTCTCAATAAACAATGAATGGAATCGCACAGCTTATTGGGCCGTAGCTAATCTTAATCCGCTTACATGCGTACATAGGCATGGTAATCTGCAGTTCTGCGAGGCTGCGGGGTTTGGTCAACTACGCTTAACCATGCTAGCATGAAACCAGCTACGTGCTGACATTAACGCGCTGCTCTTATTTTAGCAGATCATTTCACCCTTCTGTTTTTTCTTAATTCCTGTGCGACTTAAATCTTAATTGTTTGCCATCAATTTTTGCAAATACCTATGGGTAGCTGCTAAAAGCAGCTAAAACTTCGCCCAGAAGTACTGTAATGGTGGTATGTTTAATCCCCCCAAGATTCACATAACAAATTAAATGCCATCAACCCGAAATACGTGTATGTACCGGAACTCCAACTAACAGAAAGGAAAAAAATTCACTACAGTCTACAGATACAGTCACAGTAACAACCATCAATAACAATAAGTTTTACCTGCAGCTGCTTAACACTGTAGCGAGCAACAAGCGCAATCGAAAAAATGTTTTGGTTAAACAAAGCAATAAAATTAGTATTGATTTTCCAATATGGAATTTATAGTACTAATACATATTTAGTCGTTGTTTGGATGACGTATGCATTTCGAAATCAATCACTGGAAAAGAGTGAAAACGTTTATTACTGAAAAAATGGAAACGCTTGGGGTTTTCGGTCCGGCTTTAAGGAAAGTGGCCCGGTCCATGGTGTCGAAAATGATATACATGCACTACAACCTTCGCTTCCGCGCACTCCGAATCGCCTTTTTGTAATACTTTATGGCATTCTAAAGCTAAATACTTGGCTAAAACCGCGGAAAATGCTAAGCGATCGAAGCATGCTTGGTTAGCTCCGCGATACAACTTGTTCCCGCTGCGTTCGAAATATACAGGCCATTGGGGGAAGGCCTGAAATGCTTAGTGGCCGTATAGGTTATAGAATCGCTCAATCTACCGGGCAACCACGTTCTAAGAGTTTTTCCGCCAGCGACTGTCTATCCAGATTCAAAAAGGGAACGTGCTGTGCGTTATGGGCACCTTGCCGGACACTGACGGCTTGTCCGAAGTGATTTTGTTGAAACTTTAAATGTCATTTGCTGTTTAATACGTTTTGTTGATTTGTACTTCCTGTACTTTGGCATTTGTGAGTACCTTACCTTTTAATTCGAGAGTGGACAGAGCCGTTGGCTGTCTTTTTAATGTTTCAAACTTTAATTATGACGTAGCGTACCAGCGCTTGCATTTATTGTTATTTGGGAGGCAATGTTATTGCCAATAAAAGCACTGGAAAAAAAGCAGATAAACAAAAGGTTCACGACATCATGACAAGTACCAAATCGCAAACGATTTTAGGTTTCCATGCAAAATATTTTGTATCGGATAAAGTTGCTACAAAAATCCGAAAGAAAGTTTCCCAAAACACAAACCAAACAAAACTTGGCTGTACTGAAAACATAGTCGCCATAGTGGGCAGATGTTTATACAAACGGTATAATGTTTAATTGGTTTCCTTCGTGTTCAACAACAATGATTACCTACTACGGTTACAAATTCCAAAAACAACCAAAATCATTCCCTTCCTCAAATTTACTTCTGCCCGGCAAGCTTTATACAAACAGCTTTTAAAAAACTACCAATGGTCTTCTGAGCAACCGCTAGCACACTTCAAGTGAACACAAGAACTCGGCTGTTGTGTCCATTTGCGGACGACATATTGTGGAACCAACCCATAACCGCAACATTTACCGAGTAGTGGTGTAAGGCCTGCGAAATGAATCCAGCTGTCCTGAGTTGCATCATAGTACATCGCTGTATTGTTGAATAAATGGAGTTTCCCATCAAAGGTAATTAATCGAAGAAAGTCGGATGATATAGCCCATTGCTTTGCATCTGAATAATTAACCGTAAGGTGTACTGTCAAGATGCAACCTGAAAGTGTACAACTCACATTTTGTCTGCCATTGATTGGTTCTTGGATTGTATGCCTCAAAACAGTCGACAAAAAATTCTTTAAACTTGCGTTTATGCTTCGAGCCTATTCCACCTAAGCATACCAAAAACAAACACACAATATTACATAAAAGCCGGTAGTACAAATATCTGTATGTATACCATACCAATGACGTATATCAGTCCATCGGGACTAACAGCGACGCAGCTTTGGTATCGTTTTGACGGCATTTTCGGCAACGTTTTGATCGTTTTTTCGCGTGGATTGAAGCAGTATGCGGCATCCGAAAGACGGCCTTTTTTATCAACTTTATAAGAAAAGTCGTGGCCGCCAAACTTGTAAATACATCCGTTATCGCCTACCGTCATCGCAGACGACAGTAACACCTTCCCAGGAAGAGTGGCCTGTGCTTCCCATTCCTTAGAAAGCTCATTATAGCACATGAAGCACTGCGACTGGTCGCCGCTGACAAGGACATACATTTTTTCATTGGTCACTAGCGGACCCTCGCACCGTCCGACGGGGAGCGGGGTCAAGCGCTCCCATTGGTCCGAATCGGAATCATACCGCCACACGCTGCTACGAGCGATGACATCGTCGTATATCAATTCGTAGATGAGCACACTACCGCTCGGCGTGACGATAACTGGTAAATTGCCGGGTTGTTTTTTCTGCGATGGAGGCAGCAGTCGCACAGGAATCCATTCCTTTGCAACCGGATCAAAGCGATGAACGCACTTTAGTCTGTAATCACCGCCCACTGCAACGAGAATCGGCTCTACAAGGAACAAACATTAAATGCTGTAATTGTGAGCTTCCTGTATGCATGTTGTACTGTACGATTTCCGGTGCTCATATGGCGTTAGCCGAATTATTCCGTCCGTGACCTTTTGGAACTGTTCCACTGGTGTATTTTCAGGATCCATATACAAAGTACGAACTGATTTGGATCGCTCAGGACTTAGAAACGGGGCTCGAATCAACGGTAGAATTTCGCCGACGTTGAGAATCCGCTGAGCTGGATATTTGTTTGACCAACGTAGCACAGCATCCGCCACCTCGTCCTCGCTCTTTGCATACAAATCGTCGGAAGCAATAAGTTCGATTAGCTGTAAAATATTTTGCTTTCATAGACAGTTAGTCCTCTTTAATGCTCGTTTACTAACCTGCGATTCGCTAATCTGTAAGAAATCATCACAGCGTGAAACAGCTGAAAAATGTTTCACGACAAATTCTTCGCAGAGTTTTACTAGATCGCGGCAGGACAGGAATTCTGCAGTGCGCTGTACGGTCAACCAGTTTCCGGTGTTCATGTTTCGCTTTAAAAATTCCTTACATGCGCTAACGATCTCCGATACATCAAGGAACAGTGCAAATTCTAGCAATGACAACACATTATCGGCATCCAAAGAGATTTCTGACGAACATATGTACCGGACAATTCTGCAGTTAAACACACTCAGTGAATATTCATAAACCCGGCCTAAAATAATATATTGAAACTTTACTCGAGCTGTTGCAGCGAGAGATTTTTAGCAGTCTTCTTACGATTAAACACTATTATACTTTTACAGAATTAAAATGCATAACCGGGCCGTCTGTGCGTTTTTAAACCGAATTCTGGCCAAAGCAACACTTAATTAGTTGCTACGATGCATTTTTTCCTTTTCGATGTGCACTTACTGGTATAATACTTCATGAGGAACATCTTGGATCTTGATTTGTTCTTCGTGAGATTCTTTCATTTGCGAAGCAAACATGGAGCGAAAATAGGCACTTTTAGCCGCCAGAATTGCACGATGGCAGGGAATCCACTGGACTGGCTTTGATGGATCGTTCTCTCCTCTGAGCGACACGTCAGAACGTCCATTAGGAACATCCGGAGCTGGCTGCAGAAAACTCGAAGGCGAAAAATTGGAGCTGGAACTTGTAGGCTCCATTTATGTCTTCAGAGAAGGAACAACTTTATACAGAATACTCAGATTATTTTTGCTGAACTGGGATTTTAATTAAGTCTGTCTGTGCAACATAAAAGAGTGGCATTTTTGCGGTCTGAAAGAACATTTTCCAAATAACGGACAAAGTCTATGATTCTATGTAATTGTAAATCCGTACCGGACCGTACCCGTATAAAATTTATAAGAAAACAATTGTTTTCACTTCATAAATTGCTTCCAGGAATCCAGGCCGTTCAGTACATGTGATATGGACGTTACGGACGGAACCATTTCGATCGATAAAGCGACCACGGCTTGCTTTACTACTCAACTCTGGATAGTGGAGTCTATGTGTAGAGCATAAATGTAAAGACACGTACATCTTTGAAGGGTTAATGCTGTAATACTAAACACTGTCTACGGAAGTACGATGGACTTGCGGGTCGATGCGTAGTACAACCTCTGGCTTTTGAAACTACGAGAACGTTTGGACCGCTAGCAAAAAAATTTTTGCAAAGATCTGTCAAGAAAAATTTGCGAATGCAGTGGTAACCCTCGGCCGGAGAGTTTTTGCGTCAGAGAATCAGCATTGAGATACAACGCGGAAGTGCGGTGTATGTCCTCGGAACATTTAATCAGATGCGAGACAACGAGGACGTTTTTTTAGCTTTTGTTTTTTTTAGCTTGTGGCACACGGATTTGTCTCCTGCTTGTGCCGATGTTGTACGAAATTTTCAACTGGAATATTTTATTTAGACACGGTGCAGTGACTCGCAAGGCGTTTGTGTAATTGTACATAGTTGTTAGCTGTAAGTACGTAAATTCATTATTCTGTAATCGTAGATCAAACTTGTTATCTAATTATCGCTTAATTATACAGCAATTATACAGTAATTATTCTGTACAGTACATTAGTACTACAGAGCTCTCTGTACTCGAAACGCACTTTAAATTGGTTCTGTAAGATACAGACTACAGATCCGGGAGTTCTGTAAAAGTGAATCTTCCAATGGTACAGCGCTGAATCTTAGAGAGCGTTACAGAGCAACGAGACCACGGACTCTAAAAGCGCCCAGTTACCGTAGTTGAATTGGTCAACGATTTATTTATTTTTCACAACAATTTTGTGGCCGTTTCCTTTCTGTTTTTCTGGCGGTTTTAAGTTTTGTTAAGTTGAAGAAATCAAACGACTGGTGAAAAAGCGAAAGGCAATTGCACGTAAAGTACGCCGAGGTGGAATTTTGCCATTCCTCGCGCTGACGGCTATGGCGAAGTTGCCTGTTGCCATCGATACAAATTCAAATATGTACAGTCGGAGGGAGGCGAACCAAGTCACTCAAAGTATGCTTGTGCAACTTTTCGCATTTCTCGATTCTGTCAGAAAGAGACAGAAGCAACAAGGAAAATGGGAGCAATCCTTTATTGAGTATCAATAAAGCAACCACAAAAACCAACAGAAAACCAATGCAGAAAACTGAAGGAAAAATGTAGCATGTCCAATCGTGATTATGAGCGGCGTGCTGCAGCTGCGTATCAGCTGAGGCCGCAAAGCATGGAATCGCTCGTAGGCTGGGCTCCACCCCCACGAGTGTCATAGCGAGTGCGCTGATTGGTCAGCGTAGACAAAGTATACCGGCTGAGCTGTGAGCGTACAGAGGGTTATTCAGCCAAGTGTGTTCACTTTCGAAAAAAAATTCTTATAAATCGGCTTTTGGTTGGAGTGTCGCCATAAACATTTTACTAAAACGACAAAATAGTTTGACTGCTTTTCGCAAATTTTGGTAAGAATCCAGCTTCGAATGCATCTTTTATCGGCTGTTGACCAGAAGACTTCGACTTCAAATCCTTGACCAGTCGAAATTTCGCTTTTATTTGGCTGGTTTCAAAAGGCAAGTTTGTTTCTCGAATCTACACGTTTACGACTTGAAAAAACGCTGATCCGGATTACTTTATGGGGAAATCGATGTAATACTTTCGGGGGTAAGTGTGTAGGAACGGTTGGAAAAAACGCGAAAAAGGGAACAAACCCGCGGGAACCATGCCCGTTGTGCGAATTCTTACACACCGAACTGAAGCAATCCTTTTCGTCCTCCCACAAACCAAAGCTGTAGTGCAGGTCTTTATTGATCGCTTTAAAGGTCTACTGTTCGCGAAGAACGTTCCGTGGCTCGAGCCAGGCGGGGAAGAAACCTTCATCCCGAACCAAGATGGTGCTCCCGGGACGCAGCGCCGCCCCAACCGGGGCAGCTTCCCAATCATGGAAAAAACCAGTTGATCCATCAGAAAAATGGTTGTTGAATACCCCTGGCACGTTTTGGATGGAATAGTTGGTGAACCCAAATTTTAAGGGATTTTTTATTCAAAGGCACGGCAGTTGCTATACCTGAACTGGTCGACTGTTGGCAACATGTCTGTCAGGCATTTATTTTTTTCTTGTGTCAAAGGATAATGAAATCTAAACTTAATCATATTTTTATTACGACTGAATGTTGTGGCTATCCGATAAAATATTTGGAAAAGCAATATGATCTTGTGGTGACTAAATATAATTTTTTTAAAAAGTGAACACACTTGGCTGAATAACCCTCTGTATATAAGCGGCACGAGTGGCGTGGCCACCTGCGTGCGGGCGACAGAGCAAGCCACAAGAGATGTCTACCGCCTCGAGTGTGCGGTCTCTGACAATTTTAAACTTCTCTATCACAGAATTTGTTAAAAATGTTGTTAAAAAATGTATGCACTGTCGATGCGCTGTAGTTCAGGTAACCGGATTTTGACCTTTCATTTTAAGAATAAAAATTCATCCCATCACATCACCGTCCCATCACTCATCACGTTTATTTATCACGCCCGCAACTGTTCGGCATAATGGGATTGTGAGCAGGAAAACGGCGTGATTGTGAAACTGTGGGATGACGTGATGACAACCCTAAGTTGACACACCCATGGAAACTAATCAGCTGTCCTGATGGCATTAATACTCGTAGAATTCTCCACGCAAACACTACCGGATGTTGAGTTAACCTTTGGTTCATCTGTTACAGCAACATGCACAACAGGAATCACAAACTGATTTGCTGTTAATACTCTGTTTGGCTCTTAACCACACATTCATGAGCACGATGACAAGCTAAATCAAATTACTTGTTGCCTAATGCGTCGTCGTAATCCTATGCGGTTTGCACACCCGGTTTCGGCACGCACCCACTTTCTCCCGGAATCCCCGCAGTGCCATGGCAAACAGTATAGGATCCAATGCCGGCTGCAGCGACCACAGCAGCTCCACCGCCACGGAGAACCGGGTGCGCCGCACCCGAAAAAACAGTATCAGACAGTAGTTGATCACCTGCGGCGTCCAGCACACACAAACACACCCCGTCAGCAAGGTCAACACCAGGAACGACCGGCTGCGCACGGACCGCAAGCTCTGCCCGGTGGGTACGCGAGGTCGCCGCGCGGGACCCTCCCCGTCGTCCTCCGGGAAAACCTCCCGCAGCGTCCCGATCCTTCGACGGCGGAAACGCCAGTACCAGATCAGTGGGTACGCCGTTACGATGATACACAGCGGCGCGATGTAGAACAGTCCCACCATCGCGTAAATAAAACGTTGCTGCAACAGGTTCGCCGCGTTCACCACGCATAGGACGTTGTCCTTCGGTGTCCGGTACAACACCCCATCGACGATCAAACCCGGTAGGACAAACAGGTTAATGTACACCCAGGGCAGCGCACAGATGATCTTCGCCGTGGTCTTCTTGTGCTTCTGCTGATAGCTAATCGGGAAGAGCACCGCCCACAGCCGGTTCGTCGTAATCAGGACGTGGCACTGCATCATTAAAGTGTCGGAGGAGAAACGCGCGAAGATGTAGGCCTCGCAGAAGATGTGGGTGTGGGGTTGGTGGGGGTCGAAGGTCAGGATGAGTTTCAGCGGGACGCCGACGGTGGCGTGGAAGAGGTTGGCCAGGTTGAGGTTGATTAAGTAGGTGATGAAGGGGTTGCGACGCATGGCGTGATCGGTGAGGAAGATGATGAGAACCAGGGTGTTCAGGCACAGGGTCACGGTGAAGATGGAGAGTTCTGTGGGGAGAGCGTAGGCGAGTGGGGAAAGGGATGGGGTGTATGAAGCATTAGATTGATTCATTGCTTCTCGCAAAACATATCGGACAATAAATTACTGGCACATTCTTCTCGGTCCAGAAAGCGTACGTGTAAAACCGTTACTGTAAAGCCGAGCAATCAACCGTTTTTTTTCTGCTTAAGACGTTCATCAAGCGAAAATCATGCTTCTCTCCGTAAATTACTATGTATACTGCAGTTTTAAAAAAAATGGTAGTCTTCCTCCGGACAAGATAATCAGGTGTTAACGCCAACAGAACGCACTAATGGTTTGACTGCAATAGTAGGTTGATCGGACGACGCCAAAATTTCAAGGCGATGCAAAGACTGTCGTGTAATGTGGTGCCGGCTGTTGGGAAATGAGATCTTTCCGGTGTCGCTCCCTTTAATCAATCACGCAGTCACGAGCAAATTACACTTGGCTATCATTTTTGGCTGCGGCCAGTACGCACGCTGGCACGCATCAATGCAGCAAAATTGGCCTTAACGGCTAATTACAATATAAATTTGACCAGCCGGAAACAAGCAAAGATATGTACAGACTGTAGTATACAAGCGTTATTTCCCGATCATCATGCCAGGCCTTTCCTGTTTCCGCTCATCATGTAGCTGAAAACTGGGCGCGTTGATCTTGTTAACGCTACCAGAGACAAGATGCACATTCGACACGCTAACCAGTAGCGGCTTTCCCCGTTTTCCCTGACGCGCTCCTGACGTGCTCGTGTTCCTTGTTTACTGGAGTAATATGACGTGGAAAGTATCTACTGATGGGGCTAATCAAAGTGAGCAGACGGATGTTGACAAAATCCTTGCGCATATTTGGGCTCTTTATTACGTGAGGTACATGTGATTCCCCGGGGACACAACTATGTCACACGCGGTACTAAAATCGGCCTTATTATGAGAATTATCCATGCAGTACTACTCGTGAAACGAGAGAAAGGACAGAAAAGAGAGAGCAGTTAAAGAGAGCTGATTAGAAGATTCGCTATGTGTCCATCGTGCTAGATATCCAGTCGAGGACTGCCGAGGGACGAGCGTACACCGTCGGTACCCATGGATGCCCGCATCCACTAAAATACACACACAAGCACCGAATTATTCATGTAGTTGCTGCGAGAAATATGAAGACGGTAAAAGTTTCCCAGTTATGCAGATTGCAGACTTACAGAGACGACACAAACGATGTAATCCCGTACAGTGTCCACTGTCCGGTCGTGTCGTCACGGCACACCAGGGGACCGCCGCTATCACCGGAACAACTGCAAAGTACAACGTGCGCAGTTTAACAAACATAGGAAATGCAATGTTAAACAAGGCTGGGAGAGGTCAGTTTCCTCTAGGCAGCGCACAAGCCGAAGCCGCGTAAAATCACGTGGTGAAAAGGTTCATCTTGTTCAGTACCTGCTTTTCCCGGATGTCAGCGTGCAGATCATGCGGTCCGTAATCACAGCGTAGATTCGTTTGCAGGTGCTCTGCGAGTAGATTTGGACGTCTACTTGGCGGAGAACGAACGGATACACCGGAGCGGAGAGATTCTTGGCGGTACTGCAATTTAACCAAAGTTTAAAGATACAGCAGATGAAAGCACTACATAAAGATATTCTAAAAAACAACTGAGTTCATACAACCAAAATAATTGTAGGAACTGTGAAGACTGTAAATACCTGCCCCAGCCAGTTGTGTAGCATGTCGTTCCAGCTGGCGGATCGCTGGATGCGTTAACCGGCAAACACACCGGTTGAATATGCTCACTGAAATTCATTGCCTACAAAACCGCCAAAGTGTGAACGCAGTAAATTATAAGATATTCGTAGCGTGCAATGCATAAAAGAGTGGAGACGTACGCGTTTTGTTTTCAGCAGACAGTAGTCGTTGTTGACGCGATTACCGGCTGCACCGTATTGTGGATGGACATGTACACTGTCCAGCGCCAATGAGATTTGATTGGGTTCACTTATTGAATTAGTATTGTGGTCGCCAGCCACCGCTACGAGATTCTCCGCTAAACTGCATTTACACAACAGAATACTTTACTACAGTGCCGAGTGGCGGACATGAACGGAGCTTACTTACTAGGGCGTGCAACAATGTGCCGCGGTTACGATCCAGCGATCGGATATCTGAAACACTAATTTTATTATTCTTCCTTCGCATTGGCTGTTCATTTTTAAACATGTACGCAAAGAATGTAAACTGAGGGCAAATCCTGCTTACAATGCTTCCTCCGCAATGGAACCATAATCCTGATAGGTTGGCGCGCCGATGAACCAGGGCCACTTGCCATGGCCAACTGTGCGGCACTGCCTGCAAATATCGACAGATCATTATTATACCTATAACCTAATTTACGGTATCTACAAACATTAATTTTTTCTGCGACGCTTTTCTCATTTCGAACATTGTGTTGTAAAATTGTCCGGAATGCAAAAGACGTCGGAGTACACTGAAGTTTTCGGGAACAGTTTTCCGCTTGTGTTATGTACAATTGGTATTATGGCATGCAAGAACTAGTGGCGCAAAACACCGGTTTTCGAGATGCAGGCTTAAAAAACCAGTTCTTATGGCCCGAGTTAGATGTCCAGCTTTATCAATCCAGCGAAATAATGTCCTAATTGTATATGACGTTGCATTATTTACCTCGTCTCCCCCGACAATTCGATTATTAGGATGCTCCCCAACCCACACTTTCTCCCGCATCAAAAGATTCAGAATCGGGGACATCATTAAAAATGGTGCCGCTCCCGTTTGGTAATTCGACGATGATGATGCCGGTAAGAGCGGTGGAATAGCGGGAACTCCACACGTTGAAGACACTGCTATATCAGCGAAAATAACCGCCAGACAAATCTGGATATACATCCTTATAAAATTTTGGCCAGTCATTTTGTGCATTTTCCCGCAATTTTTGTTAATTAATAAACCAAGCTGATTCTGTAGAAATTAACCGGTTGGCTGAATGTGGCATTTGGTGTTATACAACTCGGCAGAAGGTGAACAGTCGCGATTTGTGTCAGAACAGTGGTCAGACGATTCCAGTTTGATAACACAATCATGCAGTCTGGTACATTCGCAATCCGTGAGATTCAAGCGATCAGAAAAACTGCTAAATAAAGCAGCGCTGCAATTAGCATCTGATTTTATATGAATCTTCTAATGGATTCTCCAAACTGATAACAGTAAATCAATTCAAATCGTCTGGCTAATCACGCCGCTAACAGGAATCGCTGGGCAAATACTGGATACTTTCCCGGAAATGTTGACGAAAAATATGTAATACCGCCGATCACAGAAGGTCTTTAGAACAATACATTAAAGATATGTAATGTTTGCGGTGCTATCTTCCGCAGTGATAAGCAATGTGTGCTTACCGCAACGGTGGTTTCCTTCGTAATTCGTTACCCGGCATCAGCTGTTGGATTATTTGCACAGATATTCAGCGGTTTCGTGTCTTCTATGTAATAGTTCGTAGTACATTGGCATTCCTGGTGGTATGGAAATACTCTTTAAGACGGTTAAAGTCAGTCTTTACATATGCACATACGTCAGCCAGATTTTCAAGTCGTTTGAAGTTTTTGTACCAGTATTTAACATTATCATGGTTGCGTACTGTATACGGACACTTTTTAATTTTATATAGAATATTTGTCGCCTTAAAAACCTGAAATGTCCAAGTATTTTATAAAAGTTATATGAATTTTACTTTATTCGAAATATTCATATCAGGGAGCACCACAAACTATATACGCATAAATTTAAATTTTGTTTAGCTTATTGAGGTTGTTGTTAAGGGTTCACAACTTCACATATATCAGTCTACTTTGGATGCGCTGATCAGACTATTGTTATCACCAAACTGGAATGTCCTTGTTGAAAGCTGCGGGTACCTGTACAGGCTGTACTGACAACTTCAACAAGGTGCTGGCATAATCTGCAAGTCATAATAACAACGACCACGTGCCCGTCACAAAGGAAGCAGAGGTCAAAACATCTGTTAACAGTGTACATACTGATAAGCCTTTCGTAATCTGTCATTTCTATTGTTGTATGTGGAACCTCTGTGTGCATCTGCTACAGCGTACAACTAACAATTAGGACAAATGTACAACAAATTAGGGTATCAGTTTATTAGGTTCATTTCCGGTGTTATTTAAATGCTGCACGGTGTCTTCGCAATAGTTCGAATTTGCTTGTGCTCGATTTTTTTTACTGGCAGATTCTTGTTTACTATTGATCTGTAGCAGAAAAGTGACCTTATTGTTCTATAGCCACAACATCATAATGTTACTGTGGTTTGGATTGTGTTTGCTGTTAGCCGCTGCTAAAGCTCAGTCCGGCACGTCTGCATTATTTAATGTATACTTGATATATTTTAATAATGCAGTTTTTTCTGATGCAGAGGAAGACTTAATTCCGGGAAAATTTCCCATTCCCTTGGATGCGCCGAAACTAGAGGAGAATCCTGTGCATCAGCTGGCCAAAGCCAATCCCGGTCAAGGATGCTACTGCGACAAGGTGTCGGCGATGTGTGCCTGTTGTGAGGAGATGAAGTTACCGCGCGTCCATCTCGACGAAATTGGTACAGTTATGCAGAACCAATTTTACAGTTTTGATGATTCATACTAACGGTGTTGCAGGCTGTGCCGAAATTGTTTATATGCCGCAATCACTGGGGGCGTCTTTCATCCTGGAAGTGGATAACTTCATCCTCGTTAACAAGACCGTTTCCGGTACGTAAACGCTTTCCACTCGATATATTTAATTAAAGCTCTCAGTCGACATAGAAATACATGTGATATAGCAAGATAATGATATGGAGATAATAATATAGCGAAGTCCGTTATTCAGGAGAAGCGTTTAAGGCTCTTGTTGCTCTATATACAGCACGTGACCCGCCACCCCTATGCTACACCATTCCGCAGATCCCGCTGGATGCCCAGCTGTGTCTGCAGGTGTACGATCTGGACTTCAACTGGGCCAAACTGGATATTAGCGGCTGTGTTAATTTCCAGGGAAAAATCGAAGGCTTGTCGATTTTGACCATCAAGCTGGGCTGCTTCAATCTGCCGCTGAAGGAAGCGCCGCACGGACTGCACGAACGGGAGGAACTATAAACACCGTTCGCGTTTCTCTTTGAACATGCAGCAGTTTTTATTGGCTTTTGTTGTGTTTATGCTGAATATGATGTTCGTAGCAAAATCCGCCGTCATTTACTGACACTTTAGTATTATTACTTTTCAATTTCCGTGTGCTGTATTAGCAAGTTCTGATCTGTGATATCAGTGATAAATCCATTGTACAGAATTGCAGTGCAACTTTTATCAGTGTGGAGGAAACCGATATGCAAGTTTTGAACAAATCATGTCTTTGTTGTGCACTTCAGTATTTCTAGTCCGTTTTTTCGTTGTGTTACGAATGGAAATAAAAAAGCGTAGAAGTACTGCATTTGAGTAGGATACAAGCGCTTCCATTAGTATAGCGTAGATATCGTAGATACGAGCACGCGTATAAGCAAATTCCAATAAAAGCCCATAACATCATTCCTGCTCAGCTGACTTAAAGAGGCATACTTACATACAAGTGTACATCTTCGTATGTATTCAGCGTAATTAGCCAAAAAATTAATTAGGGCGTTTCGTTGGTTTATATCCAGCTTTTTTTTAGTTGCAACACGATCAAGCAACATTGTCATGTTAGAAGAAGGCAGGTCATTAATAAACAAAAACTAGTTTGCATCTCCAACGTACGTAAAAACTAAAAATATCAAAACAACGAAATAAAAATCTTTGCACGTCGCGTCTGCCCAACCAATCACAAGACCAGGTATGCCCGGATTGCCGAAGTCTGAGTCTTAGGTGAAATCACACGCCGATTGCCGTTAGTATTACAACCAGTTTATCAGTAGCACGGGACTGGCTTCCTAATTCCCTACAAACGCAACATAATCACATAAGCATCGATAACGTACAGTTATTTACTAGACGATATTATGTACCGTATATGTCTCGCAGATAAGGTCTAAAAGGTCAATCAGTGCCTGCGACTGGATGTGTTGATTGTGCACCTACAAAACAGCCCATTATAGTTATTCTGCATGCTTAAATTGCCGGGCATTAAAAAACCGAGTTTTTCGCAAAGAAAAACGAGGCAAAACGTAATCTGCAAATTTACCCCGTTGACGACTATCCACGGAACGGCGGTCAGCTGGGGATCCAGAGATTCGGTGCGCACGCCCATCACGTGCTCCAGCTGGTTTCCTTCGGAGCTGGTGGAGCAGGTGTCGATGGGGCGAAGTCGATGTCTTGTTGTTTGGCACACTGCAACGTCAACCATCATCATCAGCAGTACAATACAAAATTTTATACAGTGGGTGTATCTCACATCAGGTCCGGCGGAAGACGGATCCGTCGCCGTTTCCATGCAATTAATCAGCGTTAGCACGCGGGGAATATTTGTCGCCGGGTCCACTACGTTTTGCGGGATGTACTTCAGCGCACATGACTACAAAACAAATTTTAAGTGCTCTCCAAAAAGAATAATTGCAACTGAAACCTAAAAGAAACACTACCGAATGTGGACAAAATGCACCAACAACCGCGCAAATTGTTTAGCATATAAATGCATTATACTTCTATCGTAAAATTTACCTCGACAATGTTTCCGACGCATTCGCGAGGTCCATGCTGACAGGTGAAATCCCAGTTATCTCCGTCTTTCGTTTGCTGCAAAGAAAATAAAGTTTGATTTTGACACTACGCTGAGTGTTCCATTAAGCTGCAGGATACCGTTGCTTTCCCGTAGGGGACCATAGATACGTTTACAATACTGATGATCTGCTGCACGGTCGGGTATAGTTGATTCTTAATAAACGCGATACTGTTGGGGCACAGAGTTTCGTAGAACACCTCCAGCAGCACTGGCTCCGCGTCGGCAGCTCCTCGGTGGTGATGATGGTGGTGGTGATGACGGTGATGGTGATGATGGTGGCGATGGTGGTGGTGTCGGTGTTCGGGAGATTTCGACCAAGTAACAGTCAGTGCCAACGCTAAGCTGCACAGCAACAGAAGAACTTTACCAGAAAACACCATCTTGTCGGTTGCGCGTTGATAATAGAACCAGGATTGAACTAAGCGGCAAAATGAAACAAGTTAAATCCTCTGCGTAGAGACCGTGTTGTTAGTGATCAGGCGAAGTGTCAGATGATACTCCGAATGCGCATAATGGGCAACGATTACACTGTTGGCAAGACAATGGCTTATCACTCAGACTCGCTTTATCGGCATCGCACGCAAATCATCATGATTCGAGTTCAAAGACCGTTGTGTTTCACCTGCCGACGTACCGTTACATTGTGTTAACATTTGTATCTCGTTCTGCGGGATCAGAGATGTCTATGTGAGCATGTGGAAGTTCTCCAATATGCTTGCGGATCTCCGGTCTTTTGCGCCTAACCAGGGCACATTTTCCGGGTCTAAATTCAGAAAATTCTGATCTTTTGTAGAAAGGTAGAGTACTACCCTAGCATGCTTAAAAAATAACTTTATCTGCAAAGGCTAAATAGGCGTGGCCTACCAACACTTAAATTATTACATAGTATTGCATGCTATATGTATTATCTTATTTATCTATTATGTACTAGTCTATCTATCTGTACTGTACTACCGTATCTCGCATTAGTCGATGACTCGATGCTGGCTTTTTTGTAGTTTTGTTTTGATCTGCGGGCGCGGCAGTAGATGGGGACTCTTTCAGCACGCGTGCCCATGCAGTTCAAGCCATTTTATTATTTCTCTTACTCAAAATGTTTTATAATATTACCTAAACCGTTAACAAAGAATGCTTGTACGGATGTGCTGGCAATTCAGTCGATAACGAATTTTGAAAATCTATGAATTGGCAACAGCGGGAGTGACATCGCACACGCGCGTTAATGACATCGGTTCTAGAAAGTAAAAACTGGTAGGACCATTAAGTACTAATGCAAAACCCGCAAAATTTGGTTATTACGGAAAAAGCCTGAATGAGTACTGCACAGATGGGCTGTAACATACGCCTAACAATAATAAGTCCGTAGTACTATGTACCAATTTAATTATGTTTGGCCACGCCCCTTGAGCCTTTGCAAATGAAATTATTTTTTCAAGCAAACTGGGGTAGTACTCTACCTTTCTACAAAAGATCAGAATTTTTCTGAATTTAGACCCGGAAAATGTGCCCTGGTAAAACAACTACTTTACTCGTAGTGATACCCACAACTGAAAACAGCCGGCAGTCCGTTTTCACTGAATTTGGCATACGCCATACGGTATGTCGGCTGTCGCTGACTGGTACGGCTTTTGTCTGTTTGCTTAATGAAAATTTTTGGCTTGACCGACTCTGCTGTAAGCATCACATTTTTTATTGTTCTAAATTTTAATTTATTCAAGAAGTATAGCGGTGCCCTTTTTGTTATTTTGATTGTTATCAGTAACTTGTAAGTAAAAAATACAAAAAGCAGTAAACCTACGCAATCATAAAAGATTGTACAGTGTAGAGATATACAGGTAATGGTGATTTTGGTTTTTTTGCCGGCCCGGTCGTAGTGAGTCGTGACAGTGTCCACGGCCCATGACATTGCCCGCAACATAGTCTGTTGCGGTTGTAAACATAAAAGGGGCTGACGGTTGCTCAGCTCAGCACCCTCTGTACTTACCGCGTCACCCGGCTGGAGCTTTACGTTGTTGACGTGTGGGAGTAGGATCACGCCTGGACGTACATACGGGTGGATCCTGACTGTCTGCCTTCCCCCTGCGACATACGGGAATATCTAGTCAATCAGTGCTGTGATTTGCTGTTCTCTCTAGTTATGTGCGGTATGATGTTACCTAGCCGAAGTCTATACAAATCCATGTTCTCACTAATATCATACCAGTCAGTTACCAGTTCTGATTTCTGACTTGTCTAGTTACGATTTCCTTGTGCTGTGGACTGTGATGAGAATTGAATAAAGAGACAGCAATACTTGTTCCTTTGATGAACACGATCGTTCTCAGATTATTGCATAGAATACAGGTTTTCTCGTGTCACAATCGACCTAGTTCTTGCCGATCCTCACAGAACCTACGACCGGAAGTTGTGGTTAAAGTGTTCCTGCTTAGAGATTCCTGGTTCCTGAGTTCCTGAACGTACCTATCGTTCCATCTTAGTTTCCTGTAACAGTTGAGACAGAGTCTGCCTACCGCACTGAGCATACAGGCGTGGAAGAGTAAAGATTGTTCATGGAGCCTTAACCGGCGTGAACGTTTATACACGACAATGGGGCTAAACATGGTGCTTATGTACCGCGCCTGGTTTAACCGTATATATTGCCGCAACGTCATACTCCAGCCGGGTGACGACAGCAGGTACAGCGGTGTTGAGCTGAGCAACCGTCAGCCAATAAATTTTACATCATTAGGTTTTTTGCAGTTTAAATATTTTTAATCAGATCATACATGCAACGTGTAACGCCGTACGGCGACAATATGTACCTTATGGTTTAGCGTTAAATCAATTCCTGGTATGCGGTAGAGAGGCGGTGCCGGTGCAAACACGCTCATTGGCTGTGTGAGTGGCCAAACAACAGAGAACTAAGCATAGCGCTAACAGGGCAAACTACAGGTGCGCAGTTATAACAGAATCTGTAGTACCGAATTTCATGGTGCAGAGCGCTGGCGGCAATAAGTCACTGCAGTAACAGATTTCCACGTGACAGCTAACATTTCCATGTAGAGCACATTTTTCTGTACATTTTGGTTATGGTCTTGGTTTTGCTAACAGATCATTAGCTGCATGAGCAGTATTTAAAGTCGCTGTTTCGAACATGTGCTTAGTGACAGAAACAGCGACTTCCGGAAACTCGTAGGTTTTCACGAACTGCCGTCCGTACGCGGCTGCCCTGTCGCATAACGTCAATTATGTCTTTTATTTCTGTTTCTTATAATTTGGATGATGTATATTAACGGTGTTGCAGGGTGTGCCGAAATCGTGTATATGCCGCAGTCACTAGGCGCGTCCTTCATCCTGGAAGTGGATAACTTCGTCCTGGTTAACAAGACCGTTTCCGGTACGTCGAACGCTTTCAACTCGATGTACTTCAATGTGAACTCTGGTAACATATAAATACATGTGACATCGCAGATAATGATAAGGAGATACAGTGTATGGCGAAATCGGTTATGCAGGGCAAGCGTTTAAGGCTCTTGTTGCTCTATATACAGCACGTGACCCGGCCCCGCTATGCTACACCATTCCGCAGATCCCGCTGGATGCCCAGCTGTGTCTGCAGGTGTACGATCTGGACTTCAACTGGGCCAAACTGGACATTAGCGGCTGTGTGAATTTCCAGGGAAAACTCGAAGGCATGTCGATTTTGACCATCAAGCTGGGCTGCTTCAATCTGCCGCTGAAGGAAGCGCCGCGCGGACTGCATGAACGGGAGGAACTGTAAACACCGTTCCCCCTTTATCTTTGAACAGGGAATTGTCTAATGACCTTTGCTGTGTTTATGCTGAATATGCTGTTAGGAGCAAAATACGCTGTCATTTGCTGACACTAGTATTCTTACTTTGTAATTTCCGTGCTGTAGTACCATTAAGTTTTGATCTGTGATATCAATGATAAATCCACTGTACAGAATCGTATTGAAAATTTGCAAATAGATATATTACTTTTGAACTTTTGCACAACTCATTGCTTTTACATGAACTTTAATATTTTAGTCCGCTTTTTCGTTGTGGTTCTTGTGAGTGAAAATAAAAAGCGTGAAGTTTAATTACATTTTTCTATTAGTATGAAAACACAGCATAGCATAGACACAGAAATGTATGTACGTATGTATGATAGATACAGAACTGCAACTATTCTGTATAAGCACTTTCAACAAAAACCCACAATATTTATTCCGTTACGCTAACTTAAATGCAACATATACGAGTACATCTTCGTTCTCGGCGTAATAAACCTAATTATTTAAATCAAAGGATTTAAACCTAAAGTTAAATTTAAGTCATTTTGCGTATGCACTTTTCGGCTTTTGACCAATAAAGAGAGTAAACCTAAAAATTAAGCTAACGGAAAAGCGTCATTAACCCATTTCATTGGTAATCCAACTTTTCAAAGGTTCCAGCCCATTTCATTGGTTAATTGGTTATTCAGCTTTTTAAAGGTTGCAGTACAATTTACAACAATTTTCACGTTAGAAGAAGATCATTAACCAAAATACACTGTCTGCATCTCACATGTACGTTACGGTACTTAAAATAAAAAATTAGCGAAATAAAAAGGTCTTCCCATTGCATATTTATAAAACCAAAGTATTTAACCAGTCACAAGGCCGGTATTTCCGGAGGCAGAACACTCTTCGGTGATATGCAATGCCGGTTACCGGTAATATTAGGCAAACTTATTCGTTGCACGCGTCTGGTTTGGTTCCCTAAAAACACAAAATAATCACATGGAAATCGGTTACATCCAGCTACATATTTGCTAGACGGTGTGTCACTGTGTACCGTATATGTATCGCAAATAAGGCCTAAAAGGTCATACAGCGCCCGCGACTGGGTGTGTTGATTGTGCACCTAAAAAAACGTTAAGTCTATGGCATCGTTTGTAACTGTGTCAAGAAAAAGGCAGAAAACCAGGCAAACCGTTTTTTAAAAGTTTACCCCATCAACGACCATCCACGGCACGGCGGTCAGTTTTGGATCCAGAGATTCGGTGCGCACGCCCATCACGTGCTCCAGCTGGTTGCCTTCGGAGTTGGTGGAGCAGGTGTCGATGGGGGAGAAGTCGATGTCTTGTTGTTTGGCGCACTGTAAGTTAACCATCAGCATAAGCCGTGTACGACAGAAAGCAATACAGTGGGTATGCCTCACATCCGGTCCCGCGGAAGAGGGATCCGTCGACGTTTCCATACAGTGGATCAACGTCAACACACGGGGAATGTTTGTCGCCGGGTCTACTACGTTTTGCGGAATATACTTCAATGCACACGACTGCAAATTTACAAATTTTACTTTTTAGGCCGACATTTTACTTACAGTTTTTACTTTATGAAGTACAGTTTTTATAGTTAACATAAACCTGGCAAAACTATATCTTACCTGGCAAAACTAATTTTGCGCGTAAATGCACATAACCATGAAGACCGTTTTGACACGGATCCAGACTTCTACGATTTTTTTCAAATTTTAAAATGAATTTTAAAATTTTTGAAATTCATTTTAAAATTTGAAAAACATGCTCGAATAGTGGATCCGTGTCAAAACGATCTTCATGCTTATGTGCATTTACATGCAAAGTTCGAAAGGGATCGGTCCATAATGAGACTTTTGGTACACCTGAATGCATTTAAACTTTTTGGAATTTTGTGACCCTCATAACTCCGCAACCGGATGTTGCGCGCGAAAATCTGCAATATCTGCAATATCTGCAATATATTTAATATCTGCAATATCGGTACATCTGTGATATGTGACTTGTGTAACAGCGTTTTTTCGTTGCGTCGTTCTGTATACTACTGAAGTAGTACTGAAATTCGGAACCCTGAACGTCAATTGAAGCAAATCGCTGTCGATATACTCAGCGGATCGTTCTTAAAAATTCGCCGGACTTAAACGGATTTCACGCCTATGTACACCAATCATTTGCCTACACAATGTCAAAAAGCAACCCAAAAAAGTGTTTAAAAGTGCGCGAAAGCGAATATTCCCGTCAATGTACTACATGATTTTAGTGCTATGTACCGGGCCAAATCCCTTAAGCTGCAGGATACCGTTGCTTTCCCGTAGGGGACCATAGATATGTTCATAATACTGATGATTTGCTGCACGGTCGGGTATAGTTGATTTTTAATAAACGCGATACTGTTGGGGCACAGAGTTTCGTAGAACACCTCCAGCAGCACTGGCTCCGCATCGGCAGCTCCTCGGTGGTGGTGGTGGTGGTGATGATGACGGTGATGGTGATGATGGTGGCGATGGTGGTGGTGCCGGTGTTCGGGAGATTTTGACCAAGTAACGGTCAGTGCCAACGCTAAGCTGCACAGCAGCAGAAGAACTTTACCAGAAAACACCATCTTGTCGGTTGCGCGTTGATAACAGAACCAGGATTGAACTAAGCGGCAAAATGAAACAAGTTAAATACTCGGCTTAGAGACTGTGTTGTTGTTGATCAGGTGAAGTGTCAGATGATACCCTGAATACGCATAAACATGTCTTGTACGGGCACCGATTACACTGTTTGGAAGACAAAGACTTATCACTAAGACTTGTTTTATCGGCATTGCAAGTAAATCATTATGGTTTTGACGATGAGTTCAAAGACTGCTTTGTATCGCCATATGTAGTAGAATTTGGAGGTTTGCTTATTACACGCGAACGGAGCGAGCGTGGATGCTCGGGTTAATTCATTTTGGGCAAAAGTTTGATTATATAATTACCGTAATTATCGAATTTGTGGCCCTGGGGTGCAAATAGTTCGAAGGTCATGGCGGAGGGGGGCTTCTTTCGGGGGGTGGCATTATTTTTCAAACGGCATATTTTGAAAGGGTGCAATATACTTCAAACAATTGCGCATCGTTTTCTAGTGAAACTGAACGCAGTAGTTACCGGTATATGCAACTACAATATTACGAACAATATTTTGGAGCATAATTATTCCTTTTGGAGCAGATGTCCGTTTACTGTTTATCAATCATTTAACAACAATTGTTAGGAAGAAATTTGCGGTATACCTATAATTTTGCAGCACTTGACATTTAATAACGGCCCCCTGGGGCGTAAATTCGGGGGGTCGCATTATTTTTCAAACATGATCGGGGAGGGGGGCTCATTTCAGGGGGGGATCTTATTGCGGGGGGGAGCCACAAATTTGATAATTACGGTAGACACAATCATGTCTCTAACCGTCATACCCAAAGATGCAGGCATAGACAAAACTATCACCAAGTAGTCAATATTGTAGTAATCCCAGCAAAACAATAAGCCAGAAGTAATTATAAAGGCGATAAAAAGCGACAGCAGCGGCTACTACGTATTGCAGAAGTACACGTTATTAGGATTATTCTATGTTTGATGGAACCGGAAAACGGCGGCTCGTACACATAGAATTTAACCTAAAACGATGTGGTCGACACTGACAGAAAGCCACTAATATTAAACGAATAGAGCATGTACCAGTGATAATAAGAACAAGTTGATCAGTTATACAGTATAAGACAGGATCAACATTATACACTGGACCGGCATACTTGTAAGCACATTTCGCGATCGGTAAACTGTTTAGAAGCGCGCATGGTGGACGGTATGGCTGCTTTGGAGGTAACTACTTGCATCCATCGCAAGAATAGACCCCGCAACTGATCGGATCCTTACGGCACTTACACACGCCGTCCACGCAATGGCCACCACTGCGGCAGTAGTGCACAATACAGTACAGGGCGCATACCGTGTCCGAGCCCAGGGTGATCGGCCCGAAGCCCATTCCTCCCAAGACGCCACAGGTAATTTTTGTGTTCTCCAGGGCTTCTGTATAAAGCACACATAATGTTCATCGAGTAAGATACTGAAATGGCTGAAGTTACAATATGTTTACTAACAAGATTCCGGATTATTGATGTACCAGGTCATTTCGTTTAAGTAAAGAGTATTGTGGTTGAAATGTTACGGAGAATCCGCAGTTTCATTGTATCGCCTGTGCATAATTAGAAGACCTTGCCCATCACTCACCGGTGGTTGTGGTGACTGCAGCTGCAGTTGTAACATTGGCGGTCGTTGTAGTTTTAGCCGTGGTAGTGTGAGCCGGTGTAATGACCACCACTTCCATCGTCTGATAGCGCGGAGTAGTTCCTGTGGTAGTACCCGCTGCTGTAGTTGGCTTACCCGTAGTGCTTGCTACTGGTGCTGGTGCGGGCGCTGGTGTAGTAGTAACTGGAGGATTTGTGGGGTTAATTGGATTAATCATCGTATATGGAGCAGCTGTTAAAGGAGGAGCTCTGGTGGCACCCATGGAAAAATGGAGCTCCACGGAAACTATAGCCTCAATAAGCAGCACTGTGCAAAGTATAGTATTCGCCATTTTGTCGTAGAAAATTTAATCGTAGGTGGTTAATTCTAAAGGCAAGTGCAAAAAGTTTTGTGTCCGGCAGGTGTGTTATCCAGTGTCTTTTTCCGCCAAAGCTGATAGACACAACATTTATTAAGTACGGCTCCGACATTTTATGTTTATATGGCGACAGAAAGGTCACAAAGAACGGCAACTGCTGTGCTTCGTGCCTGGGAAAACCGCTAATAAAATCAAGGACAGTATACCCCGGCTTAGAAAGTCGGCTCCTGATTTGAATGTCTGACATTAAGTGAAAGTTATGACTATGGGAAGAGTAAGCATTATAAAAGGTGTTTTACAACACCGACAATGAAAAAGCACTAAAACAGTATCATAGCAGTAAATGGAGCCAAACAAATAAAAGGCGTTTCTTCGTTTTATGCGCCCCGAAATTCCGTTTCGATCCAGTGTCACACACAGCCCAGGTTCTGCTTCGTAATAACGGTGACGCGACACGGTTCAGAAACAATGTATTTCAGGGTTTGACCAACTTTATCGTGGTTTGACTCTTGTCCTGAACAAACACACCGGTAATGTGTCACTAACTGTCTTTCGTAATTCTCCCATGGTAATCAAAAGGAGAATGGGATCGAGCACCGGTTGAACGAGATACAGTGCCAGCGTCAAATTAACCACCGTCTCGCTACCGTAGTCACGGTCGAAAGCGTACAACGTATAGTATACTTCGTATGGCGTCCAGCACACAAGGACGCTTAAGGTCAACGCGGAGAACACCCAAAAGGAAGCATGCTGCGATTCAGCATAACCAGTTCTAGGCTTTTCCGTAACTGCGCTGCGCTGCTTTTTTAACCGGAAAGTAACAAATATCCACGAAGCCGCCATAATGACGATGGGTGCATCATAAATCAGCAGCATCACTCCTTTTTTCCACATAACAAGAATCTCTGGTATCTGTAACAAAGTAAGGTTAAAAAATAGCCAGTTAATATAACGATCCAGATATCTGAACGCTTATGCGTTTATTGCTCGGTTTACGGCAAATTTCCGCAGTTGTACCTGTGGCATTTCTGTAGAAAACATTTGATCATAAAATATATAAAACAGCAGTTGAAGGGTTTTCGCAGTTCGCGGCGGTAGCACAGAAGCGTTACCACGAAGGAGTTCAAAAGAAGAGCTAAAATACTGCATACGGCGGTGCAAATGTACTCAAAGCCCCAAACAACTTCTAACGTGGTTAGACTGTACTCAAAGCCCCAAACAACTTCTATCGTGGTGAGACTGGCATTCGTGGATAAATTCAAAGCGGGTAGTGTTTACGCAGACATTTGCTGGTTGAACACCTTCCGGTTCATCGGTAAGACGCAATGCGGTCATTTCACCCGATCTGTATCGTAATCCGATTTAGCTAAGACGAATAAAGCGCAAAATTATACTTGGGGTCCTGAGCTGGAAACCGTTAGCTACCTAGTTTTCTTCCCGAGAAACGCCAGCCAACCATAAGCTGTTTAACTGAGGCACAACTACTGTGTTGACTCTCTGAGCTGAGCTAACAAAATGTCTTAGTGGCCACGTTTACGTTCACTTTACAGCTTAAACGAACAATCGACAAATGCAGCAGCTACGGAAAATCCGCTTCTTTTTGCACATATGTAATGTTTGTGTAGTTCGGTATTATTATTCGTGATTTTAACGTTCAGTCGATCAAGTTACAAGTGACTGAAACGTGATCTACCGGATGCTTCAGCTTAATTATTAAGCTATCGAAAAAACTGACAGGTTATGTCTATACTGGATGCACTGAAAGTTTGGATGATGTGGCATATAGTTACACATATGGCACGTTTTCGTTGTCACTCTGTAACTGAAAACCGGCCCATCTTTTCGGTCTGCATTTCCAGAAGCAGCGGTCGGTGTTCTTGTACCTACCCGGGCGGGCGCCGTCGCTCTGGCTTCTATCGCAAAGGGGTATTCTACAGAAACTAGAGCCAGAATAATCATCATTGTTCAAAGTACAGTAAATCGTCCTTCTGGCTAGAAGAACATAGGGTCGTAACTTACAAACAGCTGCATACAGTTATGCTGTGTTTGGCAGCTTTTATGCCAAAATCCTTGTCCTCGAGGCTTCTTTATGAGCCGCAGACGATAGTCGTAAATATTTACTACGTGCAGACGCGAGAATTTACGTTTATATTGCGATAGAAAGGTCACACACAGCGGCAACTGTCGAGAGTGTTCGTATCTGGTAAAACCACTAATAAAGTCGGCTTTGATTTGAATGTCTAATCTTAAAACCAGTAACGGTTAAGGCTATGGGAAGAGTAAGCATCATAAAGAACGTTTTACAACACCGACTCTTGTTGCTATCTATACAGCACGTGATCCGCCACCGCTGTGCTACACCATTCCGCAGATCCCGCTGGATGGCCAGCTGTGTCTGCAGGTGTACGATCTGGACTTCAACTGGGCCAAACTGGACATTAGCGGCTGTGTTAACTTCCAGGGAAAAATCGAGGGCCTCTCGATTTTGACCATCAAGCTGGGCTGTTTCAATCTGCCGCTGAAAGAAGCGCACCGCGGACTGCATGAACGGGAGGAACTGTAAAAACGGTTTCCGTTCCTCTCTGAACATGCAACTGTTTAATGACCTTTGTTGTGTTTATGCTAATTATGCTGTTCGTGGCAAAATCCAATGTCTTTTGCTGACACTGTAGTATTTACTTTTTAATTTCCGTGCTGTATTAGAAAGTTTTGATACCAATGATAAATCTGTGATATCAATGATACATCCTTTGTACAGGATCGTAGTAACAAGTTTTCCAAGTAGAGGAGATCGATATGCCAGATCTGCCAAATTATTTTCTTTGTTATGTACTTCAGTTTTTCTAGTCCGGTTTGGTTCTCGGTTTCTCGGTGTGGTTCTTACAAGGGAAAACAGAAATTGGAATGTATTTAATTACATTTTTCTATTAGCATAGCATAGACATAAGCACTTCCAACAAAAACCCGTAACATCATTCGTTCCCGTTAAGATAACTTAAATGCAGCATACATATCTGCGTTCTCAGCGTAATTAACCTAAAAATCAGGCTAACATAAAAGCATAATTATCGCGCTTTATTGGATATCCAGCTTTTTTCGAATGTTGCAACACAATTAAGCAACAATTGTCACGTTACAAGAAGACCATTAACAAACAAAAACTCGTTTGCATCTCATGCAAATCTGTACGTAAAATAACAGAATAATGAAATAAAAATCTGCGAAATCTCTCGCATGTGCACAATAACAAGACCAGCTGTCCTGGAGGCAGGACAATCTCAAGTGATATCAAATACCGGTTGCTGTTAGTATTAAGCAAACTTATTCGCTGCACGCGTCCGGTTTGGTTCCCTAAAAACACCAAATAATTCCGTAGATATCAATGAAATACGGTTACTTCCTAAACGATTTGTACCGTATATGTATCGCAGATGAGGCCTAAAAGGTCATACAGCGCCCGCGACTGGATATACTGATTGTGCTTCTACAAAAAAACCAGCATGAAAATCTTGCAGTATGCAGCATTTCACGAATCCGTTCCGCTGCACGATGCATAATTTCTACGCGAACCGACATCGAGGGAAATCATCTTTTGAATGCTTACCCCGTTGACGACCATCCACGGCACAGCGGTCAGTTTCGGATCCAGAGATTCGGTGCGCACGCCCATCACGTGCTCCAGCTGGTTGCCTTCGGAGTTGTTGGAGCAGGTGTCGATGGGGGCGAAGTCGATGCCTTGTTGTTTGGCACACTGCAACGTCAGCCATCATAATCAGCAGTGCAATAACAAAATTTTATACAGTGGGTATGTCTCACATCAGGCCCCGCGGAAGACGGATCCGTCGCCGTTTCCATGCAATTAATCAGCGTTAGCACGCGGGGAATATTTGTCGCCGGGTCCACTACGTTTTGGGGGATGTACTTCAACGCACACGACTACAAACCAGCAAATTTTAAGTGTTTTCCAAAAAGAATTGTTACATGAAACTCGCTAATAAAGAAACAAGACCGAATGCGTACACAATGCACCAACAACCGCGTAAATTGTTTATCATTATACTTCTATCTTAAAATTACCTCGACAATGTTCCCGACGCATTCTCGAGGTCCATGTTGGCACGTAAAATCCCAGTTATCTCCATCTTTGGTTTGCTGCGAGAAAATAAAATTAGGATTTTGATGCTACGCTGAGTATTCCAATAAGCTGCAGGGTACCGTGGCCTTTCCATAAGGAACCATGGATACGTTCATAATACTGATGATCTGCTGCACGGTCGGGTACAGCTGGTTCTTAATAAACGCGATACTGTTGGGGCACAGAGTTTCGTAGAACACCTCCAGGAGTACGGGCTGCGCATCGGCAACTCCGCGATGATGATGATGGTGGTGATGATGATGACGGTGATGATGGTGGCGGTGGTGGTGGTGCCGGCGTTCGGGAGATTTTGACCAAGTAACGGTCAGTGCCAACGCTAAGCTGCACAGCAGCAGAAGGATTTTACCAGAAAACACCATTTTGCCGGCACGTGCTATTAGCGAAACAAGGACTGTGGAAAACGGTAGGGTGCAACAAGTTAAGTACTCGGCATGGCGACTGTGTTGTTGGTGATCAGGACATCAGGTGAAGTGTCAGATGATACTCCGAATGCGCATAAACATGTCTGCTGTGCATAGCGATTACACTGTCCGAGTACAATGCCTTATCAACAGACATGTTTTATCGGAACGGCACGTAAATCATGATTTGAGTCCAAAGATTGTTGTGTACCGCCTGGCTGTTGTGCTGTGTTAACGCACGAAACTCTTGTGCAGTTTCTTCTGGATCGACTCGACTTTGTGAATTGTAGATGTTATTGTAGGTACATGCGTTAAAATCAAATCTAGTACTGCGTTAAAATCAAACCTAAATTTTGAAGTTACATAACAGTATCGTTATTATTAGAGCTATTTAATCGTACTAGCGGTTTTTTTTAAAAATATGGAGTTAGTGTTATTCTTTTACAACAGGCCGATACCATCACATTCCCTGTTATCCAAAGAACAATCAGTTGTTTTCTTAAGCAGCAGCGTTTTATGTGCTCTCCAATAACGTTACATATGTACTGTTCCACATCATTATCGCCCAGTCGATTATTAATTAGAAAATCGGGACAGCTCGATTGACTGGACTAAAGTCCGAGCCAGCAAGTGAACGCGTCCTTTACAGCAAAAAACACTTGAGCCAGGAATGGGGTGGGATCTGTATCGTCCGTCAGCAAGTTCAGTGGAGCGCATTCGCAATGATATCCTCCACTGCAGACTCCACTGTACGGCATGCACTGGCCATTCGCTTTGCCTTTGCATTTCTGACAGAATTCAGCACAGCTTTTCCACAATATCCCCGTGAAAGCAGCCGTTGCCGGAGTGCAGCGACTCCAGTTGTCGTAGCAGCTGTGCGTGTAGCCGTCTGCAAATTTGGACGTCAATGAAAATCAGTTTACCTAAAACGCTTGCTTTAGTGTGGACAGCAGTATCTTTAAAACATAAACTGCCATATGCACAATAACGATAATTTCAATGTTTTAAGTTTAGTAATGCTATGAGTGTATTGTGTACTGTGATATATGGTTCTGTTGGTTCTCGTGATCCCTTTCTTTTCATATTTTCTACCTTCTTAGCAACTATCTTGTCTTCTCTCCTAGCTACGCTTCTCGACTTTCCTATTCATTCAGTTACTCCCGATCACGCTACGATTCTGACAATAAAGTTACGATACGCATTCACAGTACATACACTACATGTACTGTCCCTTCTCATGTGAGATTTTATTTTTCAATATGTACATCAACGAGCACCACTCAGTCTAATACCATCAAATGAAGAATTTGTCCCAGTTAACACGAGAAGGGACTGTGCTTAATATGCTCATAGCATTATCCCGCATAATCTCCAAACTTAAACGTTGAAACAAAAAACAAGTGGAACGACTCTCGCCTGTTCGCATAAACAGTTTCTTACCGATCTCTTTCAACAAAACAATTGTGCCATTACAGTATGTGCCAAATGTCTCGCATGTAATGGGAACAAAATGACAACGATCAGTAAGCGACTTGTACGTCCCCATCTCATGTTAATTCCCACTTCCCCTTTCTCATGTTAATTGGAATAAATTCTTTATTTGATTGTGTTTACTGAGTGTGTGCTCGTTGATGTAAATACTGTGAATACAGTAATAGTATAACTGCATCCTATCAAAAGCATTACACTCACTCAGAACTTAAATCACAAGTGCACATGTGCCTTTTCTACGGTTCAGAAAGCGATTCGACAACAAAGGTATGTTTTATCTACACATTTTGCGCAAGTGGCAGGGCTTCAGCAAACTGTAGAGCACGCGCGTTTTAGCAAACCCTTTATTTCACTTTAATTACTTATTATCATGTTCACACTCGTTACAATGTTACAATATCCTGTTCAGACAGCTTATTTCTCGCAAATAAGATAAATGAATTCTAGAGAATGATGCTGGTTTGTTAAGGCTGTTAATTATTTGTTAGAAATAAAGTTTGCTGATCACCCCAAAAGGTTATCGACCCCAAATTTGGTTCTTGCAAGGTCATTAAGGACAAGGGTCTTATACAAGCCAAAGAGGTATACATCCATTGAAACTTTCATTTTCATTCCAAATGATTTAACTATGCGGCATTTAACTTTGCTTACGAGATGCCCACATCATATACTCGCTACTCCCGCTAATGCACTCACCCGGAACTTAAATCACAAGTGTTTGCCTTCCGTTATTTTATTCCGCGTTGCGGCTCTGGTTCTTGACCCCTTACACTTTCACTCTGACCCCTAAAGGTCACTCTGACGATCATAAACGTTGAAATACCTATGTGGCTATGTCCTACTGCGCCACATATGTTTTTCTCACCGACTCAGGAAAGCTTTCATCAGTTACCATTGCAGTAACCGATTTCGATACTGATACTTCAAGGGAAATTAACACTTGTCACTGTACTGCCTCCTTCTACGACCTGTCTGATAACTCACCGGTGGTGGTGGTGACGGCAGCTGCCGTCGTCACGTTGGCGGTGGTTGTTGTTGTGGCCGTTGTAGTGTGAGCCGGTGTAATAACGACGACATCCATGGTTTGGTACTGCGGAGTAGATCCTGTGGTAGTATCCGCGGTTGTTGTTTTGGCCGTTGTAGTATGAGCCGGTGTAATAACCACAACATCCATCGTCTGATACCGCGGAGTAGAACCTGTAGTTGTACCCGCTGTTGTAGTCGGCTTACCCGTAGTGCTCGGTACTGGTGCTGGTGCGGGCGCTGGTGTAGTAGTAACCGGAGGAGAATTGGTTGGGTTTATTGGATTTCTCATCGTATATGGAGCAGCTGTTAGAGGAGGAGCTCTGGTGGCACCCATGGAAAAATGGTGCTCCACGGAAACGATAGCCTGGATAAGCAGCACTGTGCAAAGTATAGTATTCGCCATTTTGTCGTAGAAAACTGAAACGTAGGTGGTTGATTCTAAAGGCAAGTGCAAAAAGTGTTGTGTCCGGCAGGTGTTTTAGGCAGGTGTGTTATCAAGTGTCTTTTTCCGCCAAAGCTGACAGACGCACAACATTTATTAAGTATGGCTCCGACATTTTATGTTTATATGGCAACAGAAAGGTCACAAAGAGCGGCAACTGCTGTGCTTCGTGCCTGGGAAAACCGCTAATAAAATCAAGGACAGTATACCCCGGCTTAGAAAGTCGGCTCCTGATTTGAATGTCTGACATTAAGTGAAAGTTATGACTATGGGAAGAGTAAGCATTATAAAAGGTGTTTTACAACACCGACAATGAAAAAGCACTAAAACAGTATCATAGCAGTAAATGGAGCCAAACAAATAAAAGGCGTTTCTTCGTTTTATGCGCCCCGAAATTCCGTTTCGATCCAGTGTCACACACAGCCCAGGTTCTGCTTCGTAATAACGATGACGCGACACGGTTCAGAAACAATGTATTTCAGGGTTTGACCTACATTATCGTGGTTTGACTCTTGTCCTGAACAAACACACCGGTAATGTGTCACTAAATGCCTTTCGTAATTCTCCCATGGTAATCAAAAGGAGAATGGGATCGAGCACCGGTTGAACAAGATACAGTGCTAGCGTCAAATTAACCACTGTCTCGCTACCGTAGTCACGGTCGAAAGCGTACAACGTATAGTAAACTTCGTATGGTGTCCAGCACACAATGACGCTTAAGGTCAACGCGGAGAAGACCCAAAAGGAAGCATGCTGCGATTCAGCATTACCAGTTCTAGGCTTTTCCGTAACTGCGCTGCGCTGCTTTTTTAACCGGAAAGTAACAAATATCCACGAAGCTGCCATAATGACGATGGGTGCATCATAAATCAGCAGCATCACTCCTCTTTTCCACATAACAAGAATCTCTGGTATATGTAACAAAGTAAGGTTAAAAAATAGCCAGTTGATATAACGATCCAGATATCTGAACGCTTATGCGTTCATCGATCGGTTTAGGGCAAATTTCCGTAGTTGTACCTGTGGCATTTCTGTAGAAAACATTTGATCATAAAATATACGAGTATAAAACATAATGATGATAGGCAAACAGGCAAGATTGGTGTAGATAATCACGATAAAAATGAGGCAAACAGCTAAGAAATAACTGTGGCGATGTTTAAAAGAGAACGGAAAAGCCACCGCCCAGACGCGATTCCCGGCGACGAGCGCGTGAAGGTTCAACGGAATGCCAGCGACCACCCAATACATATACTGAATAAACGCCGACACCGATTTGCCCACCAGGTTCCTATTAATGAGATCTTTGGTGATATTTATCCAGCCGAGAATGCTTATTAATCCATCAGAAATAAGTATAACAATCAGATAGCAGTTGAAGGGTTTTCGCAGTTCGCGGCGGTAGCACAGAAACGTTACCACGAAGGAGTTCAAAAGAAGAGATAAAATACTGCATACGGCGGTGCAAATGTACTCGAAGCCCCAAACAACTTCTAACGTGGTTAGACTGGCATTCGTGGATAAATTCGAAGCAGCAGTGTTTACGCAGACATTTGCTGGTTGAACACCTTCCGCTTCGCTTGTAAGACGTAATGCGGACATTTTTCACGATCTGTATCGTAATCCGATTTAGCTACAAGCCGAATAAACAGCAAAACAATTTTTCGAACACTGAGCTGGAAACCGTTAGCTACCTGGTTTTCTTCCCCGAGAAACTCTTCCCGCTAAAAGCTTACAGTAAGATCGTATTTAGCAGAGATACAACTGTCGAGAGTGATCGTATCTGGTAAATCCACTAATAAAGTCGGCTTTGATTTGAATGTCTAATGTTAAAACCAGTAACGGTTAAGGCTATGGGAAGAGTAAGCATCATAAAAAACGTTTTACAACACCGACAATGAATGCGCTGAAAACGTTATCGAAGCAGCAAATGGAGCCAAACAAAGAAGATGATTTTACAGATTTTGGTCGTCCCATAAATCTGCCAACATGTCATCTGTTTGTGTTTCGGCCAAGTACCGTCGCCCAGGTTGTTCTTGATTACAACGCAACACGGTCAGACAGCTGATTCAGCCTAACTTCATCGTTGTTTGACGGTTGTCCTGAGTAAACGCACCGGCAGCGTATCGCTGACTGCTTTTCTTAATTCTCCCATGGTGATTAAAAGGAGAATAGGATCGATCACCGGTTGAACGAGATACAGCGCCAGCGTTAAATTAACCACCGCATCGCTGCCGTAGTCGCGGTCAAAAGCGTACAACGTATAGTACACTTCGTATGGTGTCCAGCACACAATGACGCTTAAGGTCAACGCGGAGAATACCCAAAAGGAATTCGCGGCATGCTGCGATTCAGCGTAGCTATTTCGTGGCTTCTCCGAGATCGCATTCCGCTGCCTTTTCAATCGGAAAGCGACAAATATCCAGGACGCTGCCATCATCACGATTGGAGCATCATAAATTAATAACATTACTCCTTTTTTCCACATAACAAGAATCTCTGGTACCTGCAAAAATAAAATAAACAGTCATTAAAACGATTCAGGTAACTCAATGATGATTCGTCGTCCTACAATTTAGAGCACGATTTTGTTGTTGGTGTTACAAATGTGCAGTTGTACCTGTGCAACGTCTGTAGCAAACATGTCATCGAAAAATACATCGAACATGATAACGACCGGCAAACAGATTAAATGGACGTAAAATATGGCGGCACATATAAGACACACAGCAAAAGAATAACTGTGGTGCAGTTTGAAAGAGAACGGATAAGCCACCGCCCAGACGCGATTACCGGCGACGAGTACGTGAAGGTTCAGCGGAATGCCCGCAACCACCCAATAAATATACTGCATAAACACGAACACCGCTTTACCCATCCGGTTCTCGTCGATGAAATCTTTGGCGATGTTGATGCAGCCGAGAAGGCTGATTAATCCATCAGCAATTAGTATGGAGATCAAATAGCAGTTGAATGGTTTTCGCAGTTCCCGGCGCACAAGCAGAAACGTGGCCACGACAGAGTTCAAGAGAAGAGATAAAATACTACATACAGCAGTTAAGCAGTACTCGAAGCCCCAAACAATTTCCGTGGCACTGGTGGCGGAATTGGATATCCCAGAGTTTGTGCTAAAGTTCATATAATGTAGACCTTTCAGTTCTTCCGTAAACGGTAATACGACTGCGGACATTTCCATAGGTAGACGCTCCGCATCGTTATTCTACTTAAATGTGGAGTTTTTCAACGTTGTCATATGTACGATATAAAATAACATTTCTGCTACCAAGATGGCAGCCGTTAGCTTGTTTTCCTACGCGCCAACCGCCTAATAAAATGTTACCGTTATGTGCTAAAGGTACTGGTTTGCCTGTGGTATTGGTTTGAACTAGCTGACACTGTCACAAAGAATATGCATACAGCTTAAGTAAACAAACCAGCCGGTGCAGCGTTAACGGAAATTCCAAACCTCTGGGGTGTGTTTTGCAAATACCGTATGGAAATGTTTCGCAGTTCGGTAAAATTCCTTGTTGTTTCAACTTGTATGCCTAATATTATTATAATGCAATTACGCAGAAGCAAAACATGGGATCGATTATACTACAGTGCAGCAGTCGCGCCAGTATATAATATTTTGGCGCGATATTTAGTTTAGTTTAGCCTTAGGTCTATACAGATATTGAAACAAATTTTTATTTCCAGTACGCATACCAAGGAAAAGAGTTCTGGCATTTCCGGCTATAAACTAGCTATCTTTCGTAGAGCGAAATCACGATTACGCAGACTTTGGACTGCCGAATGGAAGTGCAGCAGAATACTATCACGGAATATCTACAAATACACAAAGCAGCAATAGTGTAAAGGTGTACTCACATGCAACGATAAGTTGAACTACATGGATAACCAGCACGAAGCCTGCACCGTTTTCGAGTACGGTACGGCTCCATTAGTTCCTACAAAGTAGAATTAAAAAAGTTGATCTGCTTGCTGCATGAGTGGGGAAATGTGTTGGATTTGCAGACATCGAAAGGTCGCTCCGCATAAGTTTAATGCAGTGGATGTAAAAAATTCCAGCGGACTGTACGAGCTTGGCCACGTCGCCGACGTAAGAGAAGACCGTCTCCTCGTGGATTTCCACAGTGCTGGTCGACGGTCGGAATGGGTGGAATACGGGGAAGTATACCAGAGTCAAGGCTTCTCGTTTCCGCTGTCTCTACGAGGCGCTATAAAATCACATCATCATGCTCCAATGGAAGCCCTGGTTCGCGCTGCCGGCACCCGTGTGTGGACCTGGTACCCCGCGGAATTCGTAACGATGCACGCGTACTGGGCAGAATTTGCCTTAATGGCCGTCTCTGTCGACAGCGATCGGTACACGGAGCTGGTGCCCATTAACCACATCCGCGTTGTGGTTTCGCCAGATGAGCGGAAAAGGCAGCTTATCGAACAGCAGACATTCATCCGTCAGACATACGATTTGCCATTTGAACTGCGGAATTTCAGTGCAGTGCCGATTCGTATGCGAGATGTTCTACAGAGGAATGTACAGGATTGGGCGTATCCGGTGTTTGTTGACAGCGACAACCTTACCGTTGTTCAAAGACGCACAGACAGCCTGACTTTAACAGAAGCTAGGGCAGCGATAAAAGGTACGTAATGCAAGGATGTAGCTTAATTCTAGAGCGCTGCAACATGGACTTGTAGAATTTATGTAATGTCAACAGTTCAGCTACCATGTACCGGCTTATTGAAAAAATAATTTTATATCTGTTTAAAATATACATAAATTCCTGCAATATTTCGATGGTGATTAAGCAACGCCTGCTGTTATCGCATAACACAAGTAATACTCGCATTTGTCTAATGTAAGTGATTGATTATGTTTTGGACTTGTGAGTGCCCGTTTTCCCCCATTGTCTTGAGCGCAGCCTCTTGGTGCAAATGTACCGAAAATTCGCCATGCTGCTTTAGTCTCACTTCTACCGCCTTTCATTCTGTATAAAAGGGACAACCTAAACGTTTTCTTCAGCAACCTTTATTTTCGACAGTTTCGCTTATCTTGATAAGCTGAGACTTATCGATCCGATTGCTATCCGTTTTCATAAAAACAGCAGTCCTTCCGATTGGTTCTCACGAAAATTAAGTTTCTACAATTCAATAGACAATTTGCTTCTTCACTGTTGAAAACGTTTATCCCCGAACACAGTACATAAAAGGAAAGTGAAAAGTACGAGAGTTTTTCATATTGATTTTTTTTACATTTCTCTCCAGCAACCCGCTCTTTACCAAGCAGCATGGCACAGCAGTTTATCCGTACCTGGAAACGGTTTCAGTGCGGACCCATTTGACATCGATTCTACAGAAATCCCCAGCAGTGCTCATGTTAAGCAACTGCCACATGAAACCTTAACGGAGATTTTCCAGTATCTACATCCATTGGAGAAGGTGAAATACCGTGGCGTCTGTGCGAAATGGAATTCGGTTCTAAGCCAGGAAGACACATTCAAACTGGTTTCCGTATCCGCCAAAGCATTCCCCACGCTCGGCAGCTGTGATTCCTGTGATGACATGGAAGAGTACCGGTTATCTGCGGTTTGCATAACGGCAACCTGTCTTGTAAAATGCATATCGCCGGGAACGCGGTGGGTCGTCGTCCAGGATGCCGGCGGACCGGAAGGAGATATCGTTGATTACTGTCTGGAAGACTACATCTTGCTAATTAAAGACATTTGCCAGCAGTTAGGACCCCGCACCAACATCATTGGAAGGCCGCTGTTTGCATTACGCATCACCGAGGGGTATCTTAGTTTGCAAACGACGAATATAGAACGTGACCTTTGTGATCTTCTGGAGAAGGACATTTCCGTGGATGTTACGGAGCTGTCTTCTTGGATTACTAGTGTCGCACCGGGTCAGCAAGGCGATAGCGCGCTAGCACGCCAGATTAAACAGGTTAACTACGGAAAAAGCCATGTAGAGTTTTATTTGCCGGAAAGCGTTTTTGGCTTTACGGTTCTGGTTTTGGCTCTTGTAGATTTTAAGGAACTGCCAACGCAACGATCAGGACCGGCAGTGGACGTTGCCGGATCTCGGACGCTGCGGTTTGGGGACGTTGAGCAAGCTGGCTATTCTTCTACTGGATCGTGCAATGCGCGCCCATCAGCGAAATGGGACTAGCACATGAAGCCATTCGGATTTGCTGCAAACTTGGTTGATATTACTATTACTCCGGAGCAAAGCCGGTGTCCCATTTTCGGCTGGGGTGAACTTTTATCGTGGATATTAAAACCTGAACAATCGCAAATGGATAACTGTATGGTTCGCATTAGTAACTAAAAGCAACTTTTTTCAGTTAGTTGGTCGATAAATCAATCGCGACACTCAATGTATAATACCGTAACTGTTTTAATGGCAGTGTTTAACCCGAAGAAGGATAGTCATTTTAATTACAAAGTACTACACGTAGTATTTTCTTACTATTGGGAAATCTAATTGCGAGTAGTGCTACCGCCCAGCCTGTTTTCTCACTATTACACTTTACTCACTATTCTATGTTCGCGTAGCCATATTATACTGACCTGTTCGAAAATTGATGACTCATAAGAAACTATTGAAAATAATATTTCTACCCACATAATACAGTATATTATGTTCCTACATCCACGGCGCGATGTAGAAACAAGCACAGCTTGCAAAAAAATGCACGCGAGAGCAGAAAATAAAAAAAGATATGCGGGTATTACAAAGTACAGATACTGTACAAAAAATGAAATCAAATCCATGGAGTGACGTATTGCGATGCGCCGGTGCCGGTACTACGCGTTAGAACGCGCGCCCGAAAAACCGAAATCCCATTCGGCACATACAGATTAACGGATACCCCGTTCGTCTTCAGAAAGGCGCTTAAGAAGTGAATTTGGACAGCGTCTCCATCATCCAGGATCCGCGGCCGTACACGAAGCGCGTCCCGGAGGAATTCAGCGGGGTGAAAGTGAACGTCCGCTGTCGGATGACATCCCACAGCGGTCCCCGCCCCCGCATGTACATCGGGATGCGGAAGCAGCCGAGATCTTTCTCGTAGATGTCGATATCCGCCAGCTCTGCCTTGACCCGGATACAGCCCGACACGCTGCTGGCGGTGTAGTCCAGGTTGTAGAACTGCAGGCACAGATCGGCCGCCGAGATGTGCGGGACGCCGTAGCAGATGGCCGGCGGATTTCGAGCTGCAGAGAGCACATATAATATGTAAGAAGTGAGTGCTATTTAAAAAATGTTTATGTGTATATTTAATAGCGGGCGTACCGGAAATGGTGCGGTTGATCACCACGTGGTCGTCGATAGTGAAGAGTAGCGAGAAACCGATGTCATGTCGTAGGTACACCATTTCCACGCATCCTATTTTTTAAAAGCAAGTATGCACATGGGAATACACATTTCTGACTAATAAAATATGTTAATTATAACATGCATAAGTATTACTAAAACTTTTAAATTTTTAATGAACGTCAGTTTCTATCCTTCGCATACTTCTATATAAACAACGGTACAAGTCATCAAAATTATTTCATCACAGCAGGATAACATTTACATTTTGAAGGTAAAAAATAATACATAAAAAATGAAAAATCTGACGCAAAATGTACCGAAAAAACGCAGTCTTCATACAGTAATTTTTTAAGAAATGACTGACGATGAAATAATTATACGTACGTACATGCGTAATGCGCAGACTGTTTTATTCATATTCTTAAGCGAAAAGAATTTTGTTAGAAGAGCACAGGAATAATTAATTATAAGTTTATAACCCCACGTACCAGTATCATTGATGTTAAAGCGCGGGATATCCAAATGTCGACAGCAAGCGCATGTATCGTTTAGGCAGAAACAGCCGTTATCCTTATGTTGTACTGCCAATGCCGAAGCTCTGGAACGGTCCGCAAAATTTATTTTCTGAAGCCCTACGTAAAATAACATTTTCATTTCAAGTATACAAAAATAATTTTGTAACGTTCCGCTGACACATTTACTTACCGTAAGCATAGCCATTAAATTGGTCTGTGTTGTGGTGTCTTGATGGCAAAACCACGCTGTACACATTGGCCACAAATACCAACATAAAAAGCGTCCCGATTAAAACTGTCATTTCTGTTAGGATGATAAAATTCCAGGGAATGGTTTTTTAAAATGTTTAGAAATAAACTCCTATAGCAGTTTTATTAGTTTTATGCTTACAGTCACTGTACACACTGCTGCATGCTCAATAATCTGACGAACTAGTGTGGAAAATGCGCGTGAAGAACAGCAGCAAGTTTTGAACGCTCCGATCAGTCACAGAATTCTCGAAACCGATGTTATCTGGTTTGTTTAATCACAACTCTGCACACTGCCATGGAACAAAGTGCAAATCGTTGTAATGTACGAGTACAGCACAACTGTTAATTAGTGTTGCCGGCGTCATCTTGAACTATGATCGAGAGTATATAGTCGCGCAAATCCAACGGTTCTTGGTTGTTCTTAGCCGTTTCATATTCTTCCTTCTCCGCTTCCGATTTCGCCCATTTGTCATTGCGTTTCAACAGTCCACAGAACTGATCTAACAGTACCGGGCGAATACGCGGTGACGTCAGCAGCGGCGGCTGATCCGGATGCAGCTCGGAAAGGTCACCGGTTTCGGCGGCTTTTTTCTTGTTGAGAATGCCATACAGATCCGTAGCGACGCTGACCGTCAAATTGCTGTCAACTGAAATTAAGTAATGGCAAAACGATTACTTACTAATATTCCAATAATTATATCTGTATAGTACATACTCTGTATGTACGAGTACATAATTATGTACGTATGTACTCGTATTTTTATTTTACTGTGTGTTACGCGATTCGCATTAGTCGCGAGTATAAAAATCTCCATCGATGTTTTTTTCTAAGTGAAATAGAAAAGTCCGATATTCCGTTTCCGCTGCTTGTTACTCTAAAAAGCGCAAGAAGCTTTGCTTTGTTTCAGCAAAGTGTGTAAAGTACGCATGGGAGAGTCAGTCAGTGCGACACACGGGGCACAAAAATCGTTTTTTTTGCCAAGCAGCGTCCATCCATCAGTGATGTCCCGGGATACAAACAACTGAAACAACCATAAAATCTACTCTACAGATAGTTAAATTTCATTACGCTTCATTAGGGAAGAAAAGTTAGCTGCTTTGATGTTAAACGAAATCACCAGTAAACCGTCGAAATTATTAATGTGCAGCAGGTAGCGTGTCGTGTACGGTAGTGCGTCCAAAAACTTCTTTTTTCTCACTATGCGATATAACGCCGTCCGCCTAATGGCGTGGATGCATATACTCGCATCAAATAATTATGGTAGTGCAGTGGCTGCTATACTGTATCTGTAGTGTTTGAAGTCGCTCAGGAAGCAGCAATCGGTAATAAAAATAATTAATATTTGCCTGGTTATAATATCAGTCTTGCTAATTTTTTCTTGATGATCCAACTATCAATTAAGCTTCATCATTTTTAAGCCTAACTAAATGTCTGCATAGTGGGCTCAGGTTGATGGACTCTGCTTGTGAGCGATGGCTGGTAAAATCAGTTTTATCCAATTTCCAGAATATTGCGCCGGCTTTATCCCTTAATGTGGCAGCCAGGCGAAAACGGAATAATTTTCTAAATCGTATGGCTAGCGTACACCGAAAGGTCAGCCTCACTGTATTTTACACAGTTTTTATAATATAAGTAGTAATTCTGAAATACGCGTGCAACTGACATTTGACTACCGTAGTCGGCGTTTTTCCACCCTCCATCAGCTGCACCCGCTGTCCGGCACTCCGCACCACATCATCCAGATGCCGCTTCGCCCGGCAACTGTAGCGGAATCCATAGGCGTGCGCTTTGGACTCCGCACGGCTCCAGTCATAGTGGTGGTCATCGTACAGATTCCAGGAGTCCGCTGATTGTGGTGGCTGCCACGCGGGGTGCAGTGGTGGTGTACTGTGTGTATCGGCATCGTCGGCTGCCGGATCTGATCGCTGCAGCGGGGTTTCCAAGGAGTCGGGAATACACGGTAGCTGGCCGTAATACTTGACGTAGTTGACAATGTTTTTAACGTCCGTCAGCCACTACACGTGAAATAGAAACCGTATGGCCCAGAACTGAAGTACTCAGTTGTAAATGGTTGCAGTTGAAAAGGTCACTTTTACCATGAGGCTCCGGTTTAAGGGTATTTATGGTCATAAAACCATCGGTCAGCCGGATTCCGAAATTTTGCTAATTTTGATAGGTAAGAATTGTTCCGCAACAGTGTGCGCTTAGTAGTTATCAGTAAGTACTGTAATTAGTTATCTTTCTGCAAGCTACAGAACTCAAGAATTTCGTTGCCAAGCGCGGTGATGTGGATACAAAGCTACAAGCCTTACCGGTGAACAAAAAGATTTGACTGGTGAACGCTACGAGTACAAGTATTGTTCATCTGTAGAGAATTTTTGTCAACTTTACATTTGGTCTTTCTTATGAGCAGACAATTACTAAAGTAAATTTCACTCAATTTCACTGAATGGATTTACTGGTCTTCTGAAAGCGCACTATCACTGTGAACATTTTTTTTATTTTGTAACGCTAATACGATTGCTTATAAACCGGTATATCCTTCCGAAATTCGTGAACTCCCTGCCTGCATGCAAGGAGGCAAAAGTAGGCAGAATAAAAGGCGTCATACAGTAATTATTGTACAAGATAAATAAATTTATTTTGGATTTTATTTGGTTGGCGGCGGCAATGTTAACGTCGATCCACTACAGCGTCCATTGGTCAGTGCACTGCCGGCCGAGCAAGTGCAGGGAGCTTCACAGGGTTTGCGGGCGCTGCAGATGGCGTTCGTGCAGGATGGCGGCTTCCGCTCCGACATTTTCTTCACATCTGCATGGGAATAACGTGTTTTGTTCTACATACATTTGTACGCATCAACCGCAATAAATAAAAGATACTAGCACTCGTATATTTATATGTCCTTAAAAAGTAAAATCACCGCAGAACAAGTACTTGTACTTGGAGACTATAGTTTTCGTACTATCGTATGAACTAAGATCGTCTGCAGTTATTTATAAAAAATAAAATAGCTTACAGGTACTCGTAATTAAAAAAATTTTGGACAAAGCGTTTGCGTTGCGTTTGGGCAAATAGCATAAACGTAAATACAGTATCTCCACTTCGTTCTCTTGGGAACAACGGCTTTGGGAACAATATGCGAGTAGCATATTTCGAGGACGCTTTATTAAAAATCATTATTAATAAATTCTTTCTTATTATTACTTAGATTATTATTTATTAAAATTTCGAAAATTAATTTGATATACGGTAGTTACTGAGAGAGCTGTAAATGACTGTCGGGTTACCTGTAATAGTGTCGTTGGCTTTCTGTTCGGGTGTTTTGGCACTGGTGGTCTGGTTCAGGACCGCTTGCACCAACATCTTCTTGTTCTGATCCGCCAAGGGATCATTGACCGTGAAGTGCCGGCTATTGGCCAGCGCATCCAACGGGCCGAGCTGATTAAACACCGCGATGGCCGGCGCAACCGCGCCAGCTTGACCGACACTGTTCTGCTGGGCTGCCACCAATCCGGTGAAAGCATAACCAACAAACACGACATATACGACACCTGCTGTGTACATTTTTGAAAAATCGATCGTGATGTGCAAAAACAATTCAAAATATTTTTGAAATATCAACTCGAACGCACGATATATTTATTTATAAACGCATGGAAATACCGTGGTCGCCGCGGAACAACAAACAGTGACAAGAAAACGCATGAATTTCCAATCAGCTATCTGTAGGAGGTCTAGAAGGTGCAACGCATCAGCGATGACGCGTGAAATGTGAAAATTAATTTCCGCCCGGTGTCGGTACTTTCCCAAATTGTTCTGTCGGTGGTAATTAAAATCGGTAATGCGATCATGAATATTTCCGTGTATTTGTTCTTACGAAACGGCATTTGAGCAAGCGTATTTTTCCGGTCATGTATTTTTGCATCATTTGTTAATGGAAAATATGGACTTTGCTAAGAAATTCTCCACAGCAAAATGCCGCTGATTACGTCATGGAAATAATAAATCAGCGCACCGAAATATAGTAAGGTTATTTCTTATTTTCCTTCTTGTCGCGATGTACTGCGGGAAACACGCAAAAGCGGTTATCTTGTTAAGCATTCGACAGTTGTGCATTGTAAAACAGATTTCTGACAATCTTTGCAGCAAATAGCGGTATAGCCCTTTCCAGTCGGTTACCGGTAGATTTTGATTTTTGCAGTTTAGCATTGTGGCAAGACGATACAAAAAAAAGAAACACGTTTAGCGTTTTTCCAAGCGGAACATTTTCTTGAACGCCGCCCGGAAATCCGGCGAGAAGATGGTGTAGATGACCGGGTTGAGGGTACTGTTGACGTAGCCCAGCCAGAGGAAAAACGCCTCCCAGAAGGTCGACACCAGGCAGGAATCGCCGCAGGTCGGCCGTACCAGGGCGTACACGAAGAAGGGTAACCAGCAAATCACAAACGACAACCTAGGAGCAAAAAATAACGATGCTGACTAGGATAGTCAGTTTTTATCTAATACAGATAGAAGGCAGCCAGCTGATAATCTGTATTTTAATTTACATTTATTCGGCATAATTATATGTACGTATATATATGTATGTACATATACATTTATATATATACATACGAGTATATGCATACACATGGTATTATGTATATGTATACAATTTATGCGTATATAATATCATTCTGTGTATTTAATCTGTATGACGTTCTGGTTTCTTTGCATACCTGAACGTTTTCCGTATTCCGGTCGTTTTACAATAATTATGGTCTTCGCATACCGGACACCAGAGACATGATATTTCCGCGTTGGTCCACGTGACAGAAACTTTTTAAAAATTTATATCGTGATGATCATTGTTTTTATGCATGTTTGTACATGCGATTAATAAAACATTATCTGGATTTCTAAAGTGGAAAAACGCGGAGAATACCGTGTCTGGTACGTGAAACCATATTTGTGAAAATGTCCGGAATGCGGAAAACGTCGCAGTACAGAAAATAAATTGTAGACATATGGAAAACAGTATTTGTTTTATAAAGAAAATAATAATAATAACTTTTTTATATAGAAAACAATAAATTATTGATAAAATTAATTATCGAATGCACACTGTTCGGCTGTCTGTGATAATACTACGGAAACGCTTGCCGGCATCTAAGTTTAAATTTGGTTACTGTAGTTTTGCGCCACATTGACTATGTTTCTTAAATAAATAAATTAAATACACATTTAAATATACATATGTATGCTCACTGTGCTCTACCTAGAATTTATTGCGCAGTTGTGGTTTTTTGTTAGCAGAACTATGGTTCGCAACACTAAATATTTGTATATATTATGTATATAAACGTACGTAATAATAGCCAGCGTCGTAGCCGCTTTCTTCTCGCGTTTCAGCAGTGTCTGATGCCGTATAGACATATTACTGCTGGTCTTCTTGGCCAGCTTCTCCGGATTATTCGGCGGCAAGAGATCATGGCCGGAGCTGGCCGTCAGGCACGCCTGGCCGTTGGTGCTGTACTCTGTGCAGTGGTTGCGCAGCGGCTGGTGCAGGGTTGACATGGGCGGGGTCTCCTGCTCGTCGGAGTTGGTCTGGGTGCTGCTGTTGCGCGCCCGCTCCGCCGGCTCCGTCAGGACCATTAGAAAGCGGCCCTTCCTTCTGCGGTTGGGACGCACGGACGCCAGTGGGGCACTAACCGTCCGCTTCCGGTGGGGAAGTTTTAGCCGGGATACCCAGGTCCCGTTGTAGAAGGTGCTCACCTGCCGGGACAGAAACGTTAAGGTCGTTATTGGGATTGAGCTTTGTAATTATGCCACATGGCTTGTAATACTCCCGCTGACCAAAGGAAGAGATTACATCGCCATCTTTCTTACACCGAACACGTTCTTACGTCTCCCAAGTTTCTCTAATTTTCATATGGATTTCAAAAATTTTAAAATTCATTTTAAAACTTAAAGAAGCTGTTTAAGACCTCTGTTTCAGTATAAGAACGATCTTCATAGTTATGTGCACCTATATGCAAAATTTGCAGAAAAGCGGTCCATAACGAGATTTTTGGTAGATCTGTTTGCGTGAATTTGGGTATTTTAGAAAATTTTATTTTGGCCCTAACGGAATTTTAAGATGGGCTGGTGCACATCTTCACTTCTGCTTCGTGTTTTTTATTCGACGGCTTATTCTGTTAGTACATACCTGGATGGGCGGGGCCGTGGCTGAGCTGGGCGTGGACGCCGGGGTCTGCTGCTGCGCCGGATGCAGCGGATACACACTGACCGCGTCCTTCTCAATCCGCATCTCCTGCAGCGTACTGTGCAACGTGTTCTCCAGGCGTTTCCGCACCCGGCTGCGGGTGCGCTGGTAGATGAGCCCATACAGCACCAGGATGCCCACCAGGGGCCCGTAGAAAGCCACCATGGTCGCGATGATCTGAAAGGACACATCCTGGCTGATCAGGCACAGGCCCTGCTGGATGCGGTCCATGTACTGGGCGTCACGCCACCCGAAGACCGGCCCGACGGACAGCATGAAGGAGACGCTCCAGATGACGCCCAGCACGCCGTACATCATGACCACGCTGCGGCCCTGGATGTAGCGCATGTTGGTGATGGAAAAGTAGCGGTCGATGGCGATGGCCACCAGGTGCAGGATGGAGCTGGTGCACAGCCATACGTCCAGCACGGCGTACAGGTCGCAGGCGATGGAGCCCAGCACCCATTTGCCCACGAAGTCGGTTATGGCGGCAAACGGCATCACCTGTAAACCGGTATACATTAAATTTCTTACAACTTTCACCGATAACTGGAAAAATTTGCAATGGGCAACAGGAACAGATCCAAAGCGTATAAATCGCCGGCACCGGGTTCGAACAGAGAAGCGCTTGCTTGTGTAATATGGGGTAAAACGGAACATCTACCTTTCATAGTTCGAAATTGAAGAAAATTGGCGGTTTGGCACGTTAGAGTCTTCGTTATCGGAATTAACTAGACTAGGTACAATGTATGACTAAAAATTTGAAAATCGGTCAGTCGGTTCGCGGTTCGAAATTTATTAATAAAACCTACAAACATGGTGTGGAACTGGAACACATGTAATGCGTATAAATCACCAACACTGGGTTCGAACAGAGAAGCGTTCGTTTGCGCAGTATGTGTTAAAACGAGGCATCCAAGGCATCTAATTACTCATACATTGCAGCTTCACTGCAGTTCAATTTCTTCTTGTTTCTTACCTACTGCGAAATTTAGCGCTAATAAAAGGTCATCCGATCACATTTTTGCCAATTACTGTAAATTATTAATAGTGGGATAGCTTGAGAGGCTCGGTTATACATGTGATTAAAAAGAATCGTTTTTATGCATTAGCCAGCAGTGACCGAAATATCTCGAACTTTAAAAACCTGGTACGTTTTTATACGAAATTGTTCTTAAAATAAACGTTGTATCTCCGGTGGCCATTCGTTCTGATATGATTTCGCCGAGGTCAAGCAACTTGTCGGTAATAATTATGACCTAATGAGATTGGAGATTAGAATGGATAAATTTAACACCGGCAGCAGACAGCCAGGAAAACTGCAATCGCGCACGGATTCGGCTGATGCGTAATATGATCTATGGCACCAGGGTTGCCGGGCTGCACGGATGCAAGTTAACCATCTCCGGCGCAGCGTCATTATTAAAAATTGTCACGCGACCACTGACGTCAGCGGCCGTTGGAATAATCAACTCCTCACATTTCCATCGATTTTTAATCAGCGCGTCTTCCAAGCAGTGGCATTAATTATACACTTTCTCGTTCAGCAAAACACCGAATTACGGTGATTATCGTCCCATAATGCATAGTGTCTTCTGCATTATGGATGCTCCTTTCGGGTGAACACTGTTATGTTCAGATTAGAACCCGGAATTTCGTTAATATTCTTCCAAAGAGCATTTGAAGGTCTGTTTCTCTACTTTCTGAATTATGCTTTGCTTAATTCACCTTTGCTTTGATTAATTACATGCATTAGTCAAAATGCCAAAAAAATTTCTAGAAAATTCTCAAAAAGCGATTGGAAAATATAATATATGCACAAAACATTCCACGGTTAAAAAATTGAATAATAACATCAACAAATAGTGTGCAACAGGAACAGAGAACTGCTTGTTTGCGCAATACGTTAAAATGTATGCGTTAAAACGACACCTCCATTTTTAATCCTATATTGCATTTGCAGAAACCCAAATTTGCTAAGAGAAAATGCAAAATATATTTACATGGAAAATATCGTTAAAAAGTCAATAAAAAACCAGGTTGCAAAAACGCAGTTGTTGTGCTGATTTTCTAAATAGCATAACTTAACAAACACGACACCCTGTCGACGCAGACGCACCTCATTAGTTATCTCACTATCTTTTTTAACCGATACACATCCATCACCGCGTGTAGGCTTCCCTAATTAAACGTTTTTGCTGCGTCTGGCGGCCAGTGACGGCATATCGGCACTTTTGACGTATTGACAAAGTGGCACACTGTACACCGCCGCATACTGTACGAATTAGCATATATGTCTTGACTAAAACCGGCCTCACGCAAACGTTTAACCTGTCGCCGGGTATAAATCAATATATTTATCCCAACGCGCGCGGGTTCCTTTAGCTGTGTTCTTTGGCAGTCAAGAGCGGTTAATTTAATTTTAGAAAAATGCACAGCGATACCGCGGCAACACATCCATCATTCTGACGTCCACGCGCGCCGGTTACCGCAAAGGTCACCGTGCGGGTATTGCCGACGGAAGCGGCTAATTAAGCGTGCGGCGCGGATAATTAACTTAGCCCGACCACTCTGCTCATTATCGCCGCGTGTGGTGCAACGCATGGGAAGCGCGTGGTGCGGCGTAACGAGGTGAGGGAATACGCTCTATTTCACTAGAGGGCAATTTTTTGTTTCCCCGGATGTGCACACTTACCGCGAGGCCCACCAGCAGATCCGCCAGGGCCAGCGATACGATGAGCTTGTTCTGGGGAGCTTGTAGCGCTTTAGACTGATGGACGGCAACAATAACGCAGACGTTTCCTATCACCTGTAGCACATAAACATAATGAAGTGACACCGCACGTGCTGAATGCTCCAAATGCCGGCTACATAAATTTTCTTAGATTTCTTGGGTTTCTTAGATTTCTAAACCGGCACGAATACATATGCACGTGAAACGCAGAATACCGAGCTTATGCAGAATACTTTAAACGCGTGATACTGAAGATATTTCTTAGGTTTCTTAGGTTTTCTTCGATTTTGCAACAAGCGAAATAAATATACGGAAAATTTTTTTGAAACGCAGCATACCAAACTCATGCAAATGCTAAAAACGCCGGGTAGTGAAATTTCTTACGTTCGTTGGGTTTCTTAGATTTCCTGAAGAACAAAATATTAGGCGGTTGCAGCTGCAAAATGCAAATATAAAGGCAGCATATTTATCTACATTATTATCCTTCAAAGTTCGTTGATTTTTAGTGCGTTGCATTCTTACAAATGTTATCTTTTTATTGTTGTTTATTCTTATTCAGCAAAACGTTGCACGGCGACGTTAAGAAACTGCAGCTCTAGCTTTTCCCCACCCCTGCACTGCATATCACATTTTCATTAAGAAATCAAGGCGGACATATGGCTGGCGCAGAGAACCCCAAAATAACCCACACAAATCATGCATCTATATACGATACACACTGTATACATTTCACTTAAATAAACACCAACGTAACCTGAACTTTAATAGACACACAGTAGCCAACCCAGCCCGTAAATATCCGCGCTTAATTGACGCCGGTGAATTTCTTGCATTTTCGTCAGGGAATGCAATTAAAACATGCATTACAGCATGTTTGTGCATTATCCAATTAAACATGTTTATGCATTATGTTCCTATTTTGCGTTATCTTCTTGTATATCATTTTTCCCGTCGTTATATTAAACATGAGGACGGTGATGAGCTACAGGGAAAAAGACGGTTAGCCGGCTTCGTTCCTCGATGGTGCGGATTAGCGGGTGCACGGCAGTTGCACAGGAAGTAAGAGTTTAATTACGCGGCACCTGATCACACCGCTTCTTGCAGGGAACACGTCCATATTACTATATACCGAACGGATGCGCACACACCGTTAATATGCTGATAGATTTTCGGCGAAGTCTAAGATTAGATTTTGCGCATTGATGTCATGGTAGCGATCGCGGTTGGTTAGGCCAGCGGAATTAGTGGAGGAAGGAGAGCAGTCCCTTGTACCGAGCGGAAATGTAATAAATTCAAAGTGGTCTCAAGTCCGTTATTCGGCAAATCCGCGGCGGAACAAGTATGTTCGACTAGTTAACTTCTTAGGGACTACCAATGCTGCAAATCCCGCAACGGTTACCGAGATTATCGAATGCAACATTTGGGTTGCTTTTCGTCAGAGCAAATCCAGTGCGTTGCAGAATTATTATTTTTTGTCTTTTTTTACGTGCTATATTTTCACCTAACTGAACTTTTCCAGCTTCTAATTAAAGCGTTTTCTAAAGAAAAAATTATATTTGGCCACATTACGAAATCCGAGAGGTTTAAGGAATTTAAGCAATAATTAAGGGCTAATTATCGTCGTGCTTCTTGTGGGCAAACTTTATTTCGAACCCGGCGAATTCGTTTTCAAAACATAATTGCACGAAAGCCGCAAAATCGTGTGAGAAGTTACGAAACCCAGGAAATTTAAGAAACTTCAGCCTGCTTTAAATATATGCTCGTTGGGTGTACATTATGCTTGAGCCGGCAAATTGATATTATGATATGCAATAATTATATTGAAGCCGAAAAAACCTGTGGAAACCTAATAAAATTTGGTATTAACTTATGCCATAATATTTTTACTGGTGTTTAGTTTAAGCATACTTTATATTTATGCCGGTAAGTTTATGTACAAATGCAGTTGCTTAAAAGTCCGAAAATTATTTTATGCAAAGTTGCATTTGATCTGGAAAATTTACGCTCAAATGCAATTATATGAAAGTGAAAGAATCGTGTGAGGATCTAAGAAACCCAGTAAGCCTAAGAAACACCCGGCAGAATTAAATGCTTTTCAATATTCCCTCACGGTACTTGTTCGCTCTATCGAGTATCGACTTACCGTGAAAATAACGAGCACCGCACTGAAGATGAGCACCAGTATGGACCCGAAGCTCCACGTCTGGGCAAAGTCCATATCCAGCGGTTCGGCCGTGACCGCCGCATCCACCGTCCCCGGCGTCTCCAGCATCCAGCGCGGCGGCGGCGTCATATTGACCGTCGCGTTGACTGCCGGCAGCAACCCGGCCAAGGTCATGCCGGTACGATTGCCTACCGGGGAATTAGCGTGATGGATGTGGTTGGCGTGATGGCGGGTGTGTTCGTGCGGTGGAGCGCGTGTGGAGGAGGCCGCGGCGGCCATGGCGGCGGCGTAGCGGTTGGCCGCGGCGATGGCCGCGTAGGAGACGTTGTAGCCGCCGCCCGGCTGCAGTGAGCCGGGATAGGGGTGCGTGGCCTGCAGGAGGGCCAGGGCGGCCCCCACGCCGTCCATAATGATGTAGTTTCCTGTTGGAAATCGGTCAGATCAAGCACGGATTTTGCGAAACAACTAGCCGCATAAAGCAATCGCCGGGTCAAGTAAAGGTTAACGCGGTCATCATCATTTTCCTAATCATCATTTTCCGCTCGCAAAAAAATTGTATTTCTGCTCTATATATACAACACTGTTCCAATCGAAAGACACGTTAATCAAGAACGATAAAAAAAATAAGCGGCCGCCCCGAATTAACCTAGACGAATTTAAAAAATTGAAATAATCAGCACTGGGAATATTTTTTTAAAAATATGACTGTCTCAAAAAACAAGCGGGTAATTAAGATACATAGATGCCGATGGCACAACTGGCAGTTGTTCAGCGCAAATATGCAAACACCGCCGGCACGCAGCAAAGTGCGCAGCTATAAGAAATGATATATACACAGCGAGAGCGGGCGAGTATGAATGATGATGCTTATAGATTTCTTTACCGAGTGCTGTCTTAATCTGAAGGAATGCCGACACAATATAACCCGGCAAGAGTGATGGTTATGGAACTGCCGGTATGCAGATATGCACAAGGGGGCGGAGTCATACCGTGTATCGCATCGCTAACGCGTCACGTGGATACTACAAATTATTTAAAACAATCCGCGGACCATATTTCATTCCGGCTGTCGATTATTAATGGTTATTTTCATTGAACGCTGTGGGTGTTGCCGAGTTGGTGCGGGGGATAGGGAACAATTGCGCGGTATTTCCACTGGGACATCGCGGTTACATGTAACAAACACCCCTCTTAACGCGGCCTCATACATTATGCAAAGTTGGCCACAATGCACGCTGCTGTGGCGGGAAATTTCAATGCATCCGTTAAGCTTATCCGCATGTCAACGCGTAGCGCGGCGGTTATTTTGGAGATAATGTGATGGGAGTGAATAACATCATGGTCTTCCTGAAAGACGGCGTGAGCATTTTCAATATTTTAATGGTATTGGACTGTTGATGCGGCACGTCACGCAAATCTCGTGCAGTGCATTTTTTTCTCCCAAATAGAAGACAAGAGTCATACAATATTTACGTAACCAAAAGCCGGATCGTTAAAACAACATACGAAACTGAATTCGGCTAAGACCAAGCTAAACTTTAATAAAAACTTTATTTTAAAATATACTAAAAATCAAATAAAAAATATGTAGGAGAGCGCAGTACGGGATTTTTATGGCAACGTAAAAAAAAGTGTAAAAATTTTCAATATTCTATTTTCAATTGTATAGGTGTAAAAATTCAGCGCAGAAATGCGGCTTCTGTTCAGGGAACTGTTGGTTGTTCTGAAGCGCTAGAAGTGTTATTCAGCTGTTCAGGTTTACTGGCTATTTGGTTTTAAGTGGAAACTGCAGTGCGTGTGTACATATAAAATTAAAAACGATAAAAAACAGATAAAAGTAAAACATAAAACAATTTAATGTATTTATTTATAGTAATATCTAAAGGTACATTAAATACATTATATACTTATTATATTAAGCACTTATAACATTTATATTACTTATAATACTCATATTACTTTCAGATATTGGAGATATATCGATATATCTTAAAGCTGCTGGCTTATTAAAATAATCATCAGCAAAGATTAGTTAATGCCTGCGCTTTATACCGTACGTATAAAAGAAAATTCAGCAGATCAGAATGCGGCTTAAACTGCTTAAATTCCAGGACAGCCTCTTCCGTGAACAAGGACGATGTTTAACCTTTAATTCTTCCCTCACATCGATAGCCGACAACCCAATTCATCGGCGAACAATCCACCCGCGAAAAGAACTTTTTTCTAAAGGTCAAGTCAAAGCCGGCAAAAGGCCACATCCGACAAGGAAGCCGCACACGCCATTCACGGCAGATGGACGTGTTGGGTCTGACCTTTGAGTGCGTGCAGGCCCACACGGGCTGCCGACTGCTACAATGGCCTTCCCCATCATTGCGGGCTTCCGGTCCGGACCCCTCTTCCAGCTGGTTAGCTGTGTAACACAGCCGCTGACAATACGCGGATTACACACTGCTGTAGGGTGAAACAAATTACAACTCTTAGCCATGTCGATAGGCAATGGATTGTAACCGATTTCCCTCTCTCTTTTCACTGCAACACTGCCCGGAATCGATCGACGCGGGTTACCCGCACCCATAAATATATTCAAACGATATATGCGGGTCATCGGGAGCGGTGTGCAGTGTGTAGTTGATTAACTGCTGAGACAATAGCCCGACCACCTGCGTCGCTGGTCGATGGGATCTGCCGCTGTGTAGTGCACGGTAATGGGGAGTAAACTTTTTTCCGCCTTGGTTAATTGATTGGATAAATAGATTTCCACGCCACGGAGGGTACTTGAACGACTACGTGGCAGGATTAGCCAGGTATATAACGCGAGCAAAAAATGTCAACAGAAAATCCCGTTTTAAAAGATTTGCCGGTCGCCGAAGAATTTTTTGTAGCGTTTTTATAAGAAATTTATAATATAAATATTCCCAAAAAGAAATAAATAAATACTGTATTAGAGTTAATTGTTTGGTTAAATGCATTTCACGCCACGAAGGGTGTTTCATTGGCTACATTGGCAGGATCGACCAGGTATATAGCTCTCGGAAAACAATAAAAAACATGTTTCAAAAAAATTTTTTATTGTCTTGCAGGCAATTAACTTTATATAAATAATAAAAATGTAATATAATAATTTTATAAAAATGGTTTGAAAAGAACTAAATATTTTGTTGTTTTTAAATATTTTGTTGTTTTTATAGGCATCTTTGTATCTTGTGGGTAAACTGTTTTTGGTAACCGTACCGCGCACAAACTGAAACCCAAATTAACTTATATAACAGGTGCAGTTAAATTGGGAAAACTCCCGCTAACAAGCGGCAACTTTTTCTACTGATACACTTCCCACATTCGCGGCAGTTGTACATCTCGTGTTTTTGTTTGTCAGTTTCCCGTAACCGTGTTATTAAATCCCCAAAATACAGGGTAGTACCTAGCTGTACGGCAACTGGTCAGCATGCGGCACGCAGAGGGAAAAATGCAATTATCGGTAATGATAGTTTACCGAGCATGCACAGGGGCAGAATTACACCCTCGTAAACCACAGTGTTCAAACAACTCTCTAACCATCGCCACGCTCCGTGATTAACGGGTTTCCACAGACACACCCCGTGTGCCTGTATACAGCTGAAACAACATCGATTAACAACCGACCGCAAACTGGATAAAAACGTGTCCCACTTTCACAACAAAATTAACTTGCATTTATACTTGGAAGCCGTATATACAAATATATAAGTAGGACGAAAAAAGTGGGTATCGGCGGGTTCAGAATTGTAATAACAATCCACAAACAGTGTGCAACAGGAACGCATCCAATGTCCCCAGTACCGGGTTCGAACAGAGTTGTACTTGTTTGCGCAATATGCGGTAAAACGAAGCATCCACTTTTAGTAGTCCTGCATTGAAGATCACTGCCTATTTAGCAGGTTAGAGTCTCGTTCGTTATCGGAATTAACCAGACTACAATGTAAGACTAACAACCTGGAAACCGGCCAGTTGGTCCACGACTCCACCGTTCTAAAATTTAATTAATAAATTAACAAATTTAGTGAGCAACACAACACATCCAGTGCGCATAAATCGCCGGCACTGAGCTGTTTGCGCAATACTTTTTCACGTTTTAAGTTGAGATAATTCCATAGTAAAAAAATTCGATAACTAGTAATAAACTAACTTTTATTAAGTGCATTTTGTTTTTTAGCATAATATTATCAGCCTAATTATTTACTTTAATTCGGAAACGAAAAAAACCAGCGAAAACCGGCATTTTTTACTGAAACTATACGCTTAAATTTTCCACGAAATCTTCGATGAATAGCATGCACGCGGGTTTAGAAAAACACAGCGATTATTAGCACCGCAACGCGAACAGAAAAAACAACATCCCCACCGCCGCAATGCCGGTCGCGCGTCAAGTATCCGCGCCACAGCAGCCGGGGCATTGTGATTGGGGTTATTATTGTGCCGGTTTAATCGGCGGCCCCGGCCACACACTTCACATTCTCTACAATACATAAAGGGATCCGCCGGGTGCAGGGGAGATAAAAACATGGAGCGGCCCGTTAATGTGTTCTGTCGTTTTCCGCTCGGCCGGCAACCACTGCCGCTCTGCCGAGTGCACCCGTGGAGGACCCTTAAAGTGGCCGTTTGTCTTTTATATTGCCTACTTTTTAAACTAAACAGTTTTTTACTACTGTACGCCGCCTGACTGTGTATACACATGTATGTGTGTACAGTGCAGCCGGGGTGATTATGCACCGGAAACGCCGCTTCGTCCAAGCGGCCCCATCGATCAAGCGGATACGATAAGACGCGGCACGGGCCCGGTATGACGTCACGGGAGGCGGCGGTTAACCGTTCTCCACGGGGATGTAATCCGTTGACAATACGGGTCCGGTCGCGGTTATAAAAAGATATGTTTAAATAAATTACGTAAATCATCGGATCACGTGAGGGAATACGCGGCCAGTTATTACCGAGCGCAAGGAAAACTTTCCGATCCACAAAAAATGCTCCGATGAACAACGATGAAAAATACTCCGCCGTATAAACAAAACTTGTACTTAGTTTAACTATAAAACGTTTCAGTTCCGCGCCTTTTCAATAGAATTATTTAACCTATCTGTATTTCTATTGCCCTAAAAATCGTAAAATTAATAATAATTTTCATGTACACCGGCATAATATATTTGTCGATACCGATAATTTTAGGTTTTTATTTTATTTTTTATTGATATTGCAAAAAAAGGACAGAAATTTCTATATTACTACATATTTTATTATTATTATTAAAATTTCAGCTTAAAAGAGGGTATTTTAAGATTTATACGCAAAAATTAAATGGCCAAGGCTGTGATTGGCACTTTGGCAGTACAGCATCTCGATTGACACTCTGGCGCTGTTTTCACCGGAAACCAGGAGCTGATCAGCCGAGCGCATACCCACACGTATATGCACAGAAAGTGTCCAGATGAGAAAGAGGGCAGTGTAGCAGCTAAACGGGTTATATGAGGAAGTGAACAATGTCCCTGACAACATTTGCGATAAATTTAATTTGTCCATTTTCGGCGAGAAGGACATGGCTCGTGTTTATTGGCAGCTACAATATTCTACAGCCTGCACACACATATCCCGTGTATTCACGCTCAAATGGCTTGATCAGGAACACGCGCATCAGACCACCATGTACTTCTCGATTACGCCCTGTATATTCGCCCCCTCATCGATCTCTCCGCAACAACAACACCACACTCAAGAGAGGAGAAAAAAATCTAACATATCCTCATACATTATGCACAGCGACGCGACAACACTGTTGACACTCAATCAACCCACAAAAAAACTACTGCCCTGGCAAAAAAGACTTCTTCTTTAGTCTCACTTTAGATAGCGATTAAAGGTTACCATGTGCAATTTGCAGTGTAAGGGGAAGAAAGTGGAAATCGGCCAGTCGGTCCGCGGTTCAAAAATTTATTATAATAAAATCAACAAACAGTGTGCAACAAGAACGCATCTAATGCGCATAAAATCGCCGGGACTGTGTTGGAACAGATAAGCGTTTTTTGCGTAATATGCGTTAAAACGAAGCATCTACGTACTTTTTTAAGCCTCGCAGTGAAGATCATTGGCTACGCATCAGGTTAGAGTCTGGTTCGGTATCGGAATTAACCAGATTACAATTTTTTTCAGTCGACACTAAAAAAACGGTTTTTTTACGCTTTTACATGCGTACGCTTTGTATGACTACAGAATCACCTGGATTGCGCTTTAAGCAAATCATACATATACGGGGGAAACGGAAAATTGCCCAAAACTGTAAAACACGTGCCTCATATATAATCGCGTAATACGCTTGGACTAAAGGTTACCAGCGTGTGCGTTGTTCGGACGCGCAACTGCAGCATATTGTACAAACATTCCAACCGCGGCATATTTGGCCAGCCGACAGGAGCCCCCCTTATTAATCACGTATGCGATTATCCCTTCTAACCACATGTAATACATATATATCCCCGCCAAAATAATATATCGTCTGCGTGTGTGTACACGTCATCTGCTATGCTGCAAGCCCCAAGATTGATGATACTGCAATTGATCTAATAATAAGCCCATGCGCATTTCCCCGCTCTCAACGGCTCTCCCGCTCTGTACCCCGGCCATCCGTTGGCTGCGCGGGGGATTATCATCATCATGATCAGCTACACTACATCAATCGCCGATACATATATATACACAAATTCCGTCTCCCATCGCGGCACAACAGACGCTCGACCAACGTGTTCTGTACACATATACACGATAAAATTAAACACTACAGCGTTTTCTTCCCGGATTAGGGAAGACGCCCGCGACAAAATCCTAATGTACCGTAGTTCATGGCGGAAGTGGTGCTGGTGACCTTTCCCACACCCCCACAGCGGATCACACCGGAACCGGTGCAGCATGACGGTAATTCCCGGCGGCAAGATTATGAAGGTTGTACAAAGTGTCCCGCATGATCATATTCATAATCCCCGGCAAACAACAACATCAATCCACCATTCCGCACACACAGGCACACAGCAGCGTCCCGTCCGACAAATTGACACTGATAGCGGCGATGAATGCGCGCGGCGTGTGTGCGGTAGGCAAATACTCTCGCTCACTCCAACAGCAACAGCAACGCATGTTTGTACTGCGCCGATTGCGTATCGCCACTCACTCTTTCGCTCTCTCTCTCTCTCCCTAGAACAGTCTCTTTCTCGTGCGGTGGGTGGGAACGGGAACCAATTACAATGGGTACGAGAGAATGGAACTGTACGTAAATTTGCCCAGAAAACGTTTGGTGGATAACGGTGTCGCCACCCGGTCATTTGGCCATTATCAGCTGCCGGCATATTGCGTTATATATGCAGTGTTTTTCAACGTGTTTGTTTTAAGAGGGACGGGGCTCGTTAAGAGGTCAAACAAACGCCGGGCGTGCGGCGGGTGCGATACGCCGGAAATGTGTGGTCTAATTGTCAAGTGGTCCGGTTGATTATGATTACACGGGAAGAAGGAAGGAAGCGCCTCCTTTAGCCCAGCGCGTGATCCCCGGGGGATTCGCGCCACCGGGCTTGATTGGGGGGCAGGCTGGGTTGTAAGTTGTAAGGCGACTAATTCCCGCCCTACAGATTTCCTCACATCGATTTTCCTCACATTTCTAACAACATCGTCATCATTGGCGATAATTTCGCTTTAATCTTGAGACAAGCAAATGGCTACTGGCACGATCAACCAGGTACCCAAAACGGCGAATAAATATAAAAATCTTGTCAGCAAAAGGCCCAGGCGCTAACAAAATGCAGTCACGTGACTGCTCTGCAGCCGCTACTCACACCAACGAAAATCTTAAAATTTTATCATTATTTAAACGAGCATTTATAAAATAATTTTTTATTGCAAAAAAATAAGTTTCTCGGATTTCCAAAATAGTTTATGTTAAACAGGGTGATGTGTGCAAAAATGCATCAGGTACGCGCTGGCTACTTATAACCACGTAACCACGTTTTCAACGGAAGTCGCGCTCCCTACCGCGTCGGAAGCGCGGCGAAGTATAATTAGACGCCAGCGCGCGGAGGAATTGTCGCGCAAGGTTAAAACAGGACAATACGCGCAAACAACAGCCTATATGGGTTCCTCCGCGTGGACCTCTCGCGGAAAGGGGAAACCGGATAGCGCCCCGTCGCGATCAACTTTCACATCCCCGTCCGCGATCACGATGCGCCAGGATACGCTAGAAGCATCGATCGCGGTTATAAATATGGGGACAACCGCGGCGTTCTCCGGTTACCCGGCGTCGCGGCGCCAGCTTCTTATCGCAAAAACGTCCAGAGCGAGGGAAAAAGTGTGCGTGGTGTTAATCGGATAGCGGTTCTTATATAAGTCAGTGCTGGGAATTCTGCATTGATTACCGTGTTTTCGAAGTATGATTGTCTTCATAATTGACCTCATCATCAAAGACAAAATTTTCACAAAACCGTTTCACAATACCACCAGAAAACCGTAACGTTGGACGTACAAAGAAATTGGCGCGCGAAAATGCGGGAAATCCGTTATCGTTAACGTTGTCGTCCTGGCCGATACAGTACGGCTCTAAACGTGCCGGATTTAAGGAGAAGCATAGAATAATGAAATAACAACAGTCGGATTTCGAGGCGCGTGCCGGAATTAGCCCCCGTATTGGCGTACGTACGTAATTGATGCAGCGACTACGTGTGACGTTCAGCGTGACGCGTGTGTGCGCTAATTTGCCGGTAAATCACCATCTTATACTGCTTCATCACTTCATCAGCGTACCTGTTCCAGCGGATGCGGACTGCGGTTGGTCACCTCCGCGTCGTAATCATCCAGGCCCGAGCTGAGTAAAATCCCACCCACACGGAAAATTCAAGCAGACCGCGTTATCCGAGTACCAGCCCCCGGGAAACTCACCGTCGACGCGTTACATTAACCCATTCTCCGGCAATCTGCAATATATACAATGTATACCTTCGAAACGGAAGCGGTCAGTTAACCTTCGGTTTAAAAGCTTAATAAAATAAGCAGTAAACAAACAGGAACATATCCAATGCGCATAAATCGCCAGTACTGGGTTCGAACAGAGAAGCGCTTGTAAGCGATAAAACGAGGGAGCGGTTTTTTTTACTTCTACATGGAAGATCACTGGCTTTTTATCAGATTAGAGTCTCGTACGTTATCGAAATTAACCAGACTACAATGTAAGACCAAAACCTAAAAATCAGCCAGTCGTTCCGTGGTTCAAAAACTGAATAATAAAATCAACAAACAGCGTGCATAAGGAACATATCCGTTGCGCATAAATTGCCAGCATAGGTTCGAACAGGGAAGCGCTTGTTTGCGCAATACGCGTTAAACAAAGCATCTGTGTTTAAAGAGCTAGCATATCCAAGGTCAACAATATCTCTGCCACCCGGATATCGAACAACGCCGTCACTGGGTTAAACCAACGATTTGATACTAACAGAATGCCAAAGATGGAAAACATATTGACGCAGCATATGCCAGCAGGATATAACAATCAAATACCGGCGGATATTTCGTGCCGGTATGCTGCGGCACGCAGCGCACCGGCATCCCAAGGTTCACTATTAAAGTCTGGTCTGAAAACCGTATCAATCAGATACTGCCTGTCTGCACACGGTACAATGGGGATAACGAAAAAACCTTTCCTCTGTAAGTATCCCATAATAAATACGCGATAGACTGTGTACACACTTGTCTGCACGCGTGGGCCAATATTTTGGCGGGGATGGGCCCGACGGCATTCTAAGTACTCCTTACACCTGAATAGCGCGCCCCAAGTGCCGGCCAACAAGCCGTGATTAAAGCGGTGAGGAGGCACTTGCGCGCCGCTGATCGACAGGAATCGCGGCATAACCGCGTGCAGCGAGATTGATTGTCTATACGCGCGAAGCTACTGGGTTTTTCCGGCACTTTTTACCGGCGCCCTGGAGTGTCGGGTTTCCTTTTTTGCCCGGTATGTTTACCCGTATTAATCAGGCACACAGCGGTCGCGCGCTGAACCAATTATTTCTTCGACGTTTTTCTGCCGTAACCTTGTGTTTAAGGGAAATTAATCAGCCTGCAGTTTTATAGAGAAAAATACCTAGAAAATTTATTTCCCCAAAAAAATCCAGAACGTTTTTCCCGGAAAACTGGATGGCGCCCCGGTTTTTATAAAGTAATGTTGCCGGAAGTGCTCCAATCTAAAATGAATTTCGAGTATTCGAAATTCAAATACACTACCGTTTGAATTCCGAGTAATCGGAATTGCAATTGCAGGCATTCCAATTCCGAGTAATTGCAATTTAAATGGACGCTGTTGTAATTTCGATTATTCGAAATCTAATTTCCGACATTAGAATTCCGAGTATTCGGAATTGCAATGCATATCATATGAATTTTAAATAATTGGTTTTTTAAAAAAGTTTTATTTAAAATTTGGATTTTAATTACAATGTACCATCAAACTACAAACTACGGAACTGGTAGTTGTACTGCGATAATTACTTTAAGGAAGTAGGAGCAAAAGGAAATTTCTTAGAGAATTAAGAAAGAGCCTTTGCCTATTTGGCACCCGCCTGGTGTGTTGACTGTTAAACGATGATATACATTTATCAGTTCGGCGCACAATAAACTCTCCATAGCGAAAATTACAACAAAAATAGTTTTCCGTTTGAAGCTACCCCTGTTCTGGCTTTCACCGTCGCAAATGTAAAGACCAGCGATGTTGACTCAAACCTCAAAGTTAGCGCAGTCAACGGCTGCGTGCGGCAACTACAACGACGACGCATAAAAATTTGGTCAGCTTTTCTTTGGGGATTGGGTGAAGACACCAGCACCGGAACACAGGTCATCGGCGCAACCGGCCCCGGCGTCCTTGCTAAAATAACCTGCTCTTCACAAAAGAGGGTGATTGGGAGGGAAGGACGACTTGTTACATGTAGTTCACCTTTACCTGATACAGCAGCAACTGAAATGCATTAAATACAAATGCACCACTTCAAGTATCGTTGTTCTACATCCGCATTGCTCCTCCTGTTTGTACATCAGGATGTAAATCCCTGTGTATTTTACTTTTACACTAAAAAAGTGTAAAAATAAAAGCAAAACCGGGTTGGAAATACTTGTAATTTATTTTTAAAACTGCACCAACTTGACCGCCCAGGGCTGTATATACCCAGACTTCATCAGCAGTGCCGGCCGGTGGTACCAACCGGAAACGAATGCTGGATGATTAAATTTTTAAAGCTTTATATTTCTAGATGTGGCTATAGACGCCACTTGGTTTTTGTGCATAATGCGCAGGAGATAACGACTGGTAACGTGTGTCATCACGATCCGGAACTTTACGTCTGAATGGTCAAAACAACCATACCGCACGTATTCAAGATACCGCGCTGCACAGCTCCGTTTTTTAACATACCCGTTCTTATCTCTATGAATCATAACTTACGCACCATAGTTCGCTGCACTGGCCGTATACCAGCCAACAGAGAAAGATGCCTGACTTTTCGTATTGTTGTTTCCCAAAAAATTCCGGATTTTTTATTTGGTTTTTATGAGTGTTTTTGGTTAAAATTGTGGGCTGCATGACACGTTGTAACGATAAAAGCCGGTTAACTTTTAAATGTAGCTCACATACCGCTCTTTCAGAAACAAAAATGATCCAGATCAGCTTTTAATGCGCTAGTCAGAAATATGGCCTCATTTACTATGCTTGCGGAATGCACGAGAATTACTCGTGCGGAGTTTCAGTTATTCCGTGCACTGGCCAAATACGGTTGCTAGAATATGGATGTTCCTTACTGTTAAAAAAGGAGAAACTCTATCCGAAACGGTAACGTTTTTTTCCACCTATGTTCTTAATTTCGCATCACCGCTTTCAGAAGGTTGGCCATTTTTGTGCTTAACATTGGCTATTATGCTTCATGGTCGTAAGTTCATAACAACTGTTCAATTGATAATAATTATAACAATGACGATGCAGTGCTATGGTTACATAACGCAATATCACAGTATTTTTAAAATGGGTACCTGTAAGTAATAAAGATGGTGTAAAAGGGGTGCTTATGTAGCTAAAATAATTAACAAACCTGGGCGGAGGGGTGCATATAACCGTTGCTGTTTCACATCGCCCTCACTCTCAGTATTACATAGTATGTTTATGGTTACGCGCGAGCCTCCCGCGCTATGAGTTTCGGCTACGCGCGAGAGCATCTCGCGCTATGAGTATTGACTACGCGCGGGAGTTTTTCCCGCACAAAAACTACTAACAAAAGTTTGAATTGTGTATCCAATACGACAGGGCAACTAACAATTACGGCAAGGTCACCTTATAGTGATGTAAAACCAAAATCTGACCTTACCGGCGTTTCACATTTTTTGATAATTTGACTTTTCACAACTCTCAGCCGTTATGGCGTCAGAACTTAAAGTGGGAAACAGTGGAGCAAAGGAGCCAGCGAACACATCAAGTGCATCAAGTCGTTATAAATCCTGGCGGCAATGCCAAAGCATCAACGACGCATCCGCTTCATGACACGTTCCCGGGGAAGGCTTTCTTGTGGATAGTAGTCATACTACCATCCTTACGTTCCCTACAGCTCAGTGAAGCCGGTGTGAAAGAAAGCTGGCGCTTACCGCCCACACCGGCGGAATTCAATTCCCACAAAGAAAAGCATTACGATAACCCTGAAAAGTTACTGCCAGGCGATGGTGCGTCTTAAGCTTGTGGATGGCGTGATGGATGTCACCAGGGCAGCCGAACATTCCCGAAGCCGCAGCAGAAGCCGATTTGCCAGAGCCAGAGCATCCTACTGTAAGCAACGTTTTCGCCCCTGATTTTACGACGTTCAGAGTCAGACCTCGCGCAACCATTAAGCCCCGCTGTCGGCCGTCGAAAGAAAGGCGCCATGAACGGTTCAATCAGACAGCCCAAACGTCATCGCAACCAGTCCAAGCCATGCCCCAGCCTGCCGACACACCGGTTCCCGCTTACTCAAACAGTCCCTCCGCAGAAAGGAACGATATGAGCATGGCGAAAACAAGCGGCTCGGATTTGCAGCTAAGACTCCTTAACGCATGGATCTATCTGCTGCTCAATCTAATTTCCTCAGAAAGGCGGCCTAGAACTTCCTGCAGAGTTGGATCTGTACCAAAATAACGACCTGTGCTTCCCAAGGCCACGTTTCCACATGCGGATGCATGGAGAAAACCTTGTGCAGTCCACGTTTAACGGTTTAACGGATTGTTTAACGCACCACTATGTTTGCGCGTTGTACAGCTGTGACATCCCCGGTCTTGTCCGGATCTACTATTCAACGGGTCAAATGCCCAGACTTGCTGAAACTACAGTGGCATTTCCTGTTTGCCCATCTGGCATCTGGAGAGCAAGGGTCAGATCAGCATCGAGTACGACCCAGTTTACGGGCAATCACCTGGAGGAAATAAGTGCCTAATATGACTGTATGCTCGTTTTGCCTATGACCTGTTATTGGGAAAGCAGATTCAAAACGCCAACTACGCCCGGGAGGACGAACTGCGCCACTGGTTTTTAACCATGATCGAAACCGGCACATTGGCGCCTCCTCCCAGATCGCGGGGTCGTAATCCGTGAATGTAAACCACGCTGAGAGGTCATAACTGCACAGCAAAAGCAGCACATACGGTGGAAGTACGCCGGCGGTTGCATCTGCCCAGCGGATACAGATCAGTTTCGCTGTGAATATTGCTCTGTAACTAAACGATACAATAACTGTCGGTTCTGTTTCTTAAATTCACCATCTCAAGAAATGATGAATTCGACGTACGTAGACGTATGTTCGAGAAATGAACTGAAAACCGTACAATTTCCAGTTTTGCCATAACTAGTGGTCGAAAGTATTCTGCAAGATATTCTCGCGCAGTCTACTGTAAGATAATCATGACTCCAGTCTATTCTGTT